TTTCGCCAAAATCGAATTTTTTAGCCGGGTGAACGTTGATTCCAACTATTTAAGCGACAAGCTATTCAGAACTCTCAAAAATATCCTATCGTAAAAAGGAGAAAAGAAATCGATCCCGAAATATCTCGAAAATCTCGAATAAGCGTAAGCGTAAGACTGAAACCGAAGCGCCACTACGTGAGGAGATGAGAAGGCGTGTGCGCAGCACGCGCGGCCAATCTCGTATTTAAATATTGGGCAAAAATATATTTTTTTCTCAGAGTAATCGAGAGGTTGATGAGGGGTATCGATCGGCGTCTGGCGACCGTCGATAGATGTATAATGTTTTTGTTGATTATGGAATTATCTCAGGAATGTGAGGAATTTTCCCGGTTATGAAATCTGATGTTTTCCTCTCGGGTCGGAAAAACAAGCCACGGAAAGAAAATACTATACTCCAATCACGTGTTGAAACCTATGTCAGTCGGCTTTTTTTCGGGGCTGTTGCTGTTTCTGAAGTTTTTCCAATATTCCTTACGTTAGTGTGAACTGAAAGAGGAGGGAATTAATCTCTCAACTGCAGAACAGATCCCCGAACAATTCTCTCTTTCCCGAGGTAAACGCGTGATTCAAGATTTTTCCTGTCGAGACGATGAACAATTTTGAAGTACGTCATCAACTCGCTAATTGACATTAACATGATTCATCGATTTCCTGCATTGACAACTAAGAAATGGAAGGAAATTGATTGAGACTATAATCTTTGTCTTTGTAGAACATGAGAGGGAATTGATTGATGACATTTTTAGTCTTTATCAGAACATTGGAAACATTTCGGTATTAAAAACGTGATGAGTCGAAGATGGCACCTTTTCAATTATGGAGTCATCTCAAGAATCAATGATTTTCAGAGAAAATATCAAGAGAAGTCTTCGCAGAAAATCCCCTCAGCCCGAAAAAAGGTCTTTTGATATTTCCCGTTGATGCGATTGAAATTCTTGGCAGACGACGTGGACTCTATAATTAACAAAACTATGAGTCATCGATTTCCTTCATTGGCAATTGAAAAATGGAAGAAAATTGGTTGGGACTATTTTCGTTTTCTTTATTCAACTTTACATCCATCTGCGTATTGGAAATTTAATAATTTAGACGTGCAATAGTTTTTAACTGTGGAATTATCTCGAGAATGAGTTGATTGAGAAAAAATTTTAATGGACTTTCTCTGCGATATTTCCCTTTAAAATCACTCACCAATGCCGATGCGTTCGATTTTTCTCACCACCGAGAAAACATAATTTTGATTTCCAATAATATGCCACTGATTTTTAAGAATCTACCACCAATTTTTGAATAACCCCAATAATCAGTCATTTTTATCTTCAAATACAGGAGATAAGTCCGTGAAAACTAGTCACATACTCCTCAAAATGAGGGATAATGTCATTAGAAATTAATGATAATGTCACTAAAACCTGGGAACAAAATCATTGAATTTCGAGCTGATTTAATTTCACAATCACGAATCCCCAAAAAATGGGGATAGATTCCTAAAAATTCGGGATGGATGCTTGAAAATCAGTGACTCGTCTCTGAAAGTCGAAACTATATTTGCTCTGTGATCGATATTCAAGAAAGTGGTGAAACTGTGCCTTCATTGCTGATCTGGTTCATCAATCATCATCAGTGGCACACGTTGACCCCCTGCGCAACTGAAATACAGTTCTCATTCTCTTCCAAGATCATCTATCAACAGATTCGTTATTCGTTTGAATTTTAGGATATAGGAACCTACAGAGAACAAATCAAAAGAGTGAAAGACGCTGAGGAGGTACCCATGGTATTAGTCGGTAATAAATGTGATCTACAACAATCGTGGGCTGTAAATATGTCACAAGCGAGAGAAGTTGCGCGTCAGTATGGTGTACCGTTCGTTGAAACATCAGCCAAGACACGAATGGGTGTGGATGATGCTTTTTATACACTGGTGAGTAATCAAAGGAGCCCACAGACAACATTCGTCTCATAATGACAGCTCTGAGAGCATCCGGTGGAGGCGGCTAATGACGACTCTCGATTAATGACAATTATTAAAACACCTCAGGTACGAGAAATACGAAAGGACAAGGAGCACCGTGGCAAGGAGAAGAGAAAACGTCAAAGAGCTGGTAATTCAGGTCGCAGGAGACCCAGATGCTGCCTTCTGTAAGCATCGCCACCACATCTTCGTCATTTGACACTGATCACAAAGAACTAAGAATGAAATCGTGCAAGCTTTAAGAAGAAGAGACAGAGCGTAGTGGAACACGTGTTTAGGGAATTCAAAAATATGCACAGTTTTTCCGTAGCTTGCCTCCAATCCTCCATCATCTCGAAGGATTCAAACGAAACTGAGCACAATTTTTTCTATCGAAGCAAAGTAATTGATTGAGGCGAGACTACTAAGAGTTTTTGGAATAACGTGGCTTTCAATTGGGCATTTTGAAGGATACAAAACGTAAGAATTCGTACAGGAAAAAACTTCATTCATTGCCCTTTCGGGTTTTGAGATATTGAGACTTGTCGGCGTACCGAAATTTTAGAAAGATATACCGGAGAATCATTTCGATAGGATTTTTAGATATTTGATCTCTAAGTAACGTAAGGGATTTTTAATTTAAAAGAAACCATTGTAGCCGTTCAAAATACTTCGGAAACGTCATGAATGCATGACAAAAATCCATAAAGAAAAGTGACTTTAACGTAACTAGAAGATCAAATATCAAATAACCATCTTGTAATTATTGTTCTCAACATCAGTCCAAGAATTTCGGAAGAGAGGAGTCCGAATGTCTCAAAATTAGAGTACATTGAACCGGGTTCGATCTCATGCAATATTTTTCTCGTACTAGTTGTCAATTTTTTGTGTACAATATAGAATATGCATACTGTAACATGTGAAATTTCCAAGCTCAAAGTTTAGTGACTTCTGAAATTGACAGTAGTCTCCCCTCAGATTAACAACTTCAGTCAGTATCTGGTACTGTATAATACAAGAGATAATTAAATTTGTATTCCTCATTGTTATACTCTAAGGTGAAAGAGCACACCGAATCGACATTACTCAAGAAGATTTAATAACGTTCATAATGAGCAAGTGAAACTTTTTAAACTGATAAAGACACTTTTAATCGCGCAAATTTTTCCCCCCTCGTTAATCACGTTATGGTAACCGAATGATTTATGTTAAACTGCATGATATTTTAAGTTCCTTTTTTATGATGTTTTTCTGCCGCAGAATGAAGCAATTCATGTGCCAGACGACTATCCGTTGCCACAGAGAAAGAAAGGGGAGAGTAATAATTTTTATTGCCGAATATTTTTCTCCTTATTTCACTTGAGAAATCAGTTTTTTGATTAACTGTACTTTTCATTCGATTTCGAGGGCCAAGATAATCAATTAAAATGTGACGTAATGTTTCACAATATGTAGGGATAGATATTGCTACAATTTTATTGTAAATATAAGATGCATAGGGCCTGGACTGTTTTAAATCAATTTTAACGTTTTTTTTCTCTTTAAATTGTTGTATTCACTGGATTTGTTCTAATCAACGTGCTTTTTTCACGTCATAACCAATGTGCGTTATTTTTTTTATGACGAAGGGACAAAAGTGAGGTTTATGCCTATAAGATTGCCACGTAACTTTTGAGTCAAATTTATAGTTTGTACATTTTTAATTGTAATATCTAACGACATTTCGAATGCTATGAACCTATAGATCAATATCACGTGAATCGACGAACGATTTATCTAAGAAAAGATTCTATAGGTAACAGAAATAGTGTTCAATAGTTTTTCATATGGATGAATGGATAAATAAAAAATTGAAGTTAAAATATTTAGAGGAGAATTCCATCAGGAAATCTGATAATTTACACGTCGAATTCGATAGTAGTCCCTTTTAATCTTCAATCATGCCATTCAATGGCGTTATACTGTGAATTCTGCAACGATGCAAATATATAGTTAGTCGTAAGATAATTCAATTGAATCAATAAAAGAACGTTTATATAAATGAGAGTGTATTTTCTGCTCCCCGATAATTTATCCAGGAATTTTATTTATTTGCATTGTGAGAGTTGAACTCGGAGTGAACAGTGCATGGGTTGCTAATTTTAAAGACAGTGGCTCCCTTTGTTATGCAGTTCTGGTAATTCTGCGATGGAGCCATAGAGGACATTCCAGCAAATATCATTTTACAAATATCTTGGAAATAAGAAGATTTTGAGGAAAAAGATGAGGAATTTTTCTCAAGCCGTAAAATTTTTTTAGAAATAAATGATTGAATGTGTCTAAATTTCTGCATTACAGAAATATTTGAAAAATAAATGAAAAGTATTTTCATTGTGAAAGGAATTTATTTCGTTTTCCAAACAGAATCCATTTTTTTTTCAATGTCCAAAAATCTTTTCCTTCTTCTTTATTAGAATTTATCAAAATCTCTTCCTGTTCGTACTCAACTTATCGGCAGTTATTTTATTATCCAGTTGACTGACTCGAGATTATCGTGAATTTACCAGACACACTTATCTATCCACCACAAATTTTTAATGATCACAAGTCCTTAAAATAAAAAAAACCATGCTTCAGCACTTTGTTGATGTACAATCAAATTCTTATGCCCGTGAGAATGAGTTTTCATCTGATTTTATTGATTTGTGAAAGAGATCAATTGACATAGTAATGAATTTTTGATTATTTTATTTCTGAGCACCTAAGTAAATATAAAATCATCGTACATCTAATATTCCATTCAGCACGTTGCTATATCACTGTCATGTTATTGTTCGCTAAATATATATATAATATATATTTATGTATAGATTTTAATATGTATAAACTATTCTCTAATCACATACGAAATAGTAGGCTTGTGTGTATACAGTAATAATATATGGCACGTCAGTCTGTTACGTTGAATTAATTGAATTCGTATGTATTGTTTAAATACTACTGCGCGATACATATTAAAATGTTGTCTCTATGATTTTTTTTATTGTTTTGAAAATGATTTTTATGATAAAAAATTCGTCCTCGTTTTGGCATGATGTCCTGCTGGCCTTTTCAATTTTCCCAGCACTACCGTATCATCTCCATGTACTTCTGCTTGTGTTTACTCAACATTTCGGTAACCGTGACCAGTTGTTTTATTGTCGGCTGTAAGAAAAGAAATATGTTTAATTAGGGACATAAAGTCTTGGGAGATGAAATTTTCATCTTTTAATTGGATGACGTACTTGAGTCTTGGAGAGCACTTGGAGCTCACGCAAATGAGACACACAGATGTGATGAAGCGTTGCCAAATCTCGAGCTGTGTCTGACATACTCTGGATCTTGTTACGGTGATCAGCGCCATCAGACTCGGGTTTTTCAATCACATTCTAGACACATAAAGCATGAATATTTAAGGACACAGCATTCATAACTCCAACAAATCCCTCGATAATTATGTAATTATCTCATGAACTATTGATTTTACAACAGAATGCCAAGAGATTGTCATAGAATAAAATAATAGAATTTGATTTTCCTATACAACTTATTCTAGAGATTTTCCCAGTTTTTTTGGAAATTAGAGTGGAAAACTTAGAAAATTCATGTCGAGTAAGTTTTATAAAAAATGTCTTAATACAAAAAGTTGGATAAAAATATGAAATTTTACTGATTTTTTCAATCCAGTCGTTTCTATCGGAGATTTTCCTATAAAATAAAGCGAGAAGAGAATTATTTACCGATAATTGATCGAGAAAAACGACCATTCGTTCCTTGTTCTTCAGTATAAATGGATTGACAACCTCCATGTATGGCTCTTTTCCCCCAAACTCAACTAAATTAGCCAGATTCTGCAGACACTTTGCTACCATAACTAGAGACCTGTTGAAATAAATAAATCATTACAACCAAATCCTGAAAAAATATCAGGAACATTATGAGAACGTTGGGTTACCTGGCGGCAGCTGGTGGTGGTGGTTCAGCGATTAAGTTGAAGGACCTGGGATTCAGAATAGCTGGGCATAACAAACGTAGAAAAATGAAGCCGCTGACGACACGAGTTCTCACAAGACGCTCGTGTGGCCATTTCGACACAACGGCTCTTTGCAGACATCCACATATGTATCGCAGGGTCTTTGGGCATGCGTCGGGGCTCGTGAAAATGCTGAGAGTCACTTCATCCAAAACCTAATTATTGGAAACCAACTAATAATTAAAATCTTCTGCATAAAAACGCAAATTGTTGTGCAAATGACTTTATTCAAAATAAAGTCATTTGCACAACAGCTTTTTTGGAAATTACCAAAATTTTTTTGCAAATAATGGTAAAAAATAATGCACTAGACTGAATATTATTGCAATTTGCAACGTATAAATCTCTGGAGAATTCTCGGAATTTCTGGAGAATTCTACAATATTCTGAAAAAAGATGTAAAAAAGAAGAATTCCGCTCGCAACGTCGGAGAACATGCAGTATAAAAACAAGAGAATTTTGAGACTGTTGGAGTAGTTAAGAAAATTGTATAAATTACTTGTAATAAAAATTCAGCATTGCTACACGCGTCCTCCGGCGAGTCCATTTTCGTTGGATTGAGTTCACAGCTCTGTTTACTCTCGATGAGTTTAACTATGGTATCGCGTAGGGCAGCTTTGAGGAATGACGTACAAACTGATTTCATGTAAAGATCCATAAGTGTAGTTGTGAGGCTGGCAGCGCGAAACAACGTAGGTGTTTCGTCCTCCTTGTCCACCTCAGCCTGATTGAGTGAGCGTAAAAGGTCAGCCTCCTTCCTCTCGTGTCTAAATATTCTCAGGAGACTGTTCGCCAATGGGACTCGATCCAAGTGACAGACGTCAGCCAGAGCTCGAACAACGTGGAGTTCTGGGTCGAGGAGGAGCTGTTGAAGGGGGCTGTATTCCTCTGGAGGCATTGCAAGATCGTGACGATATCTTATGCGTAAACGTAGTGCTCCCCATTCACCAATGGGGGTGACCCCAACCAGTGGATACCACTCATCAATCTCCTCTCCATTTGGTAAATTAGCGAGCTCCACTGACACCTCAGCAACTTCAGTATCTTTGCTTCGTTTACCCTTGTTATAAAGAGTCAATGAAAACGACATCACGTCGGGAGGCACATCCTCCAGGACAAACTCCTCGTCCCAGAGCAGATGCATTCCAGTCTTAACTTTTGTACGAGCAACTTTAACATTATTTAATGCAACTATGATGAATGGATTTGGTACCAATTTGTATGGCAATCTGTGTGCATCGAGTATATGTAAATGCAATGATCGCAGTTCACGTAAACGTGCCACCTTGGGGGCACGTGTCAGCTGTGATACACAGAGTGGCTTCAATGCATTTATCCAGTCTTGAGCATTTTCAGAATTTGGTGCAGCGAGGTAAGTTATCGTTGCTAAACAGGGCAATGCACGCTCCACGAGTTGGAAACAGTGGGGCCTGTCGAAAACACTTTCGTGTACCTGAAATGGAAAGTAAACTGCAATGAAGTTACAAAATAATTCATAAAAATTCATTAGGAATTGAAAACTTGAATGTTTCTCATTCGTCCATTGCATTGAAATTTTACCCAAGATAAAAATAAAACTAATAAAGTGACCCAATACAGTAGTAATTGTGAATTTATCTCAAATTAATGATTTCTCCCTCATAAAAACATTATCGCAATGTTTGCAATTTCCCACCCCCCGCTATCTCCCCCTCAATTAATCTTATCTACCTGATAGAGATAGGCGCAGCTGAGGTCAATGAGTCCCTTGGGTTTCGTCCTCTTGGGATTATCATAGAGGTAAAGATGTGTGTCAGTGGCATCGACCAGCAGCACAAAATACAATGCCTTCCACTTCTTATTCTTCTCCGACTTTTTCTCCAAATATCCCTGCATTTTGATCCCCTTATTCTTCTTAGCGCCGGACTGTTCACGACACTCTCTGAGTGTAGCATAAATCTTCTCAGCGTGCTGTACCTCTCGATTAACCCTGACACTGCCATCGGGCTCAGTTACCATGGCCTGTACCAGCGTGTGGCCCTCCACAATCTGCTCCTTCCTGTATCGATTGATAACAGCATCGAGACACTCGAACGTTCTTCCCCCCATTAGATACCTCACCCCTTTCTTTTCAATCCTAAATCTCTGTATTTGATTATTAATGTGAAAGAAGAGGGAGTAATCCCCGGGGCTGTTGTCAGATGGCCTCACCAGGAAGCTTCCAGGACCGGCCTTCACCAGCATATCAACAGCCTCACTCTTCGTTACATTCGGATGAAACCACGAGAAGACTGTGTTCGGATCAATCGAGTCGTCCAAATCCTCAACCAACTCACGAAATATGAGACCCTGTTCCCCTGTTCTGTGGGCGGTGACCCACAGCCAGCCGTCACCCATGTCGTTGTGCACGAAGAATATGTCGCCTTTTTGGAAACTCAACTCATCTGTGTCCGGCATCTTTGTGTATGGCAATATAGCGACGATTCTCTTCTTATCGTTCACTGGCTCTGGTGGTGGCGTCGGGTGAATCAGACGCTCACGTTTCAAGAGGTCTGAGCAGTGGGTGTAGTAGGCTACCAAGTCCGAGAGACTGTTGAACTGACGGCCACCGATGTAGTAGTCACCGCAGACAGCTGTTATGCGAAAATGATTGATGCCAGTGCGACCCAAGTACGAGAGCACGTAACTCCCTGGCTTTCTGTCGCTCTCGCGCACCAGGTAACTGCCCATTTTACTCGCGTCCCACAGACGCTCTTCTGCGGTAAACCTGTCCAGGCGACCATGGTACCATCTGGAATGTGAAGGTGGGGGTGTAGGAGGGTGTCGCAGCAGTGCGGAAGGAGATAAGGGGTTTCAGCGTAGGTCAGTTTTTGGAGCATATCTTGGGATTTAAGGAAATGGTATAAAGACGCAATATTTGGATCACATGTTGTTGAGCACATTCAAAAACTATTCCCAAAATTTCAATTACCTTATCCACCCCATTTTCGAGATATACATCGTCAAAAATGGAAAAAACACAAAAATTGAATGTTTGGCGATGGATATCTCAAAAATGGGGTGGACCAGGGACTGGAAATTTTGGGAATATCTTTTTAATGTGGTCAACAACATATGATCCAAATATTGCGTCTTTATACCATTTCGAAATTTTCACCAAGTATACTTACTGCGGAAGTACCTTAAGGGAGATGAGGGTTTTTTTGGGGAGAAAATGAAAATGGAACGGGTTTTTTTGGGAACGGTATCTGTGGAAATGAGAGCGATTGCCTTGGGCTTTGAGGTATTTGGGGAAAACTGAAGTCTAAGGGGATTTTCAATATTTTGAGAGATTGAGAGCTGAATGGGTTTTATTGTGAAGATTCGTGGAAATTGTAGTTTAATCATAGCAATTCTGGTCGTGTTATTGACTTGATGCGAGTAAAGAAGTAGAATTCAACGAGGGAGAGCATGAAAATTTTTGCAAAGAAGAATTATGAGTTTCTTTTTTTTACTTTCATTTTCATTTTCGATCAGAGTTTCATTGAAGTTCGTGTTTTTCTCTTCAGATTCGAAGATACACTTGAAATTTCCGACAGAAGTTTCCGAAACACTTTATGGAAAATACCATAAAGTGACAGTTACACTAAAATTACAAAGAATTTCGTCACTGAAAATCACTATTTGATGCGAAAATCAGTAGAAACTGTAAATTTAGTTCCATCTTTGATTTTAATCTTCATTTTCATTCAAAGATTCTCATGAAATTCGTCTATCTCCTTGAGACTCTATATGCTTTCGGGAATTCATTACTTTGAACGCTTTTGATTCTTCACAAATTGAAATTTCAGGTCAACAACTCCCATTCATATCGTATCATTGACTTTACGTAAAAGCAACAGACAATTCATCGAGGGAAATCATCTGATAAAAACTAAAAATAAATGACACGTTATGTTCCACGGACAATGGCATACTGAAATTTTTTGTACGAAAAAAACAGGTTTTTTTGACTTAACTGACCTCAAAATGAAATTATTTTCAATCTTTTTGTCAATTTATTACCTTGAAAGTTCTATCTCCTTCATACTGATTGAAATTCTGGCGTATCCTATCGACTCACACCGCATCATCAATTTTACGTATTAAAAATCGATAATTAATTGACGGAAATTATTTCACGTAAACTTCTTTATTCACATAGGATTTCTGAATCTCGAAAAATAAAAATATATAGAAATTTTTTTCGGTTAAAAAATCTTTATAAGAATTCTTTTATCTTCTTGAAATTCAAGATATTTCACCAGCCCGATCCCAAACTTGAATAATTCTTAACGTTCCGATCATTCATTTCCTCCAATGTGTTCTGTTCTCCATAATCCTTGAAATTGGAATTTTCACCTCCACGAGGAAAATAAATCCAGCCATCATTTGAAAAAGAAAATCAAAAGATTTTAAACTACTTGTGGTTTCGATAAACACCCTGAATATCATTGACCCCGCTAAAAAGTGATTCACAATGGAAAATCGAGTGTTCGATAACACTCAAAACAATTACAGCTCTTGTCCAACAAATGCCACACAATTTTCCTTATCACCAACAACTTCCTCCACCGTATTCTTAAGACCGTCCCCCACATCCGGCCCCGCAGATTACCAAAACATTCCCTCTTCCTGTTATTCCCAGCTCCCCACGATCGCCCTCACTCCCCCCCAAAAACCGTAAATCCAAGGAAATAATTACTGATTCTCAGCTGGTGCAGTGAGTAAAGTCGCATTGGCACTGTCGGGCTCCTCGATGTCCTGCGGATCATCCGGGATATTTTCAAGGAATGGATCAAACTCACTCTCGGCATTGAGTGACTCATTTGGACCCCCATCCTCGCTGCCCGTACTCGGTGAGCCACCTTTGCTCGGATGATCAATCTGAAAGGAATTTCCCTGTCACCTCACAAAAGAACTCCCAAAAAGTCCACCTCCCCCTCGCCCATTCAATTTATCTCGAAAATTAATCAGAAAATGTGGAGTGAGAAGTGCCGTATCGTCGAGACAAAGAAGCCAAATACACAATCTCCGAATAGTAATCAATAAATTAGCAAGTCAAAATCAAACCCCACGAATTCTAATGACCCCCCACAACAACAACAATTATTCTCCTCGCGTACTTAATGGCTATTAAATTCTCAAATAAATACCTTCGCACTGTTTGACACGCTGGGTCCGCCGCGTACAAATTCAGCCATTTTAATTGGTAATCCCCCCGAATATTCAAACAAACAGATCACTAATAATAACCATTAAAAATAACCATTTCAAATGATTTCCGATATCCTCATCAGTAACGCGTAAAATCACCATCTGTAATGACCATTAATCATTATTTAAACCTCAATAATTCATAGTTCCGCACAAATAATGTATTGACGTTTTTCACCCACCGTCCATTTTACCACTGGCAGCACGTTGGACTGAAGTTTTGTCCCCACCATGAGTGCCCAGGCCGTGAAACATAGGGTAAGAAAAAAACTTGAAAACAAACATTGGGAAAAAGGCGAAAGTGACAACAAACATGACAGGTGAAACACACCAATTGGACAATTGTCAGGTTGTTGACACTATCGACAATTGAATTTTTTCAATTGTAAGGGAGGAGTGCATTGTTTATTTTGAGCTATTGGTGCTCAGTCGATAATACAGAGGGAGATGATGCGTGTAGTTTTTTCGGTGCTGAGGATTCATCAGTTGCACTGGTAACTCCTAACCCATGAGTCGTTTTTTTTATTTTGACATTTTATCGGAGCGAGCAGAATATTGTCGCTGTCAGGCTCGTGACTAGTGGTGCTGGCAAGTTGTAATAATTCAAATGTTTAATTTTTTGAAGAGAAAGAGAAGCGACGACATGTCACTGCTGAGGGACTGGAGAGGAGCCCTCCAAACTCCACATGTCTATCGGGTTGGGAGTAACTCAGTGAGACTGCAGAATCAATGTTTAATTGCATTAGTTATATTATTCGTACCGGTGATGTTCTACGCCTATCCTAGAATACTCAACAATGTGTGTCACCAGAGCCAGTGCGAAGAGTGCTCCGATTACTCTGTTTACAATTCCACGTATCCACTGTCAGCGGCAATTAAATCACCAGCTGGAGTGACATTTAAAATTTCCGTAATTAGTGATTTGGATACTGACTCGAAGGTGCCTGACAAAGGGCTCTGGGTTAGTCATCTCAAGAGGGGAACGCTGACGTGGAATGCCAAGGAACGAAGGGTCTCCTTGCATTTCGATGAGAATCCAATCATTCTTTCGTCGAATATTGCTATGAAGGGGAGGGCTATGGAGCTGTCGGAGTTGGTGACTTTTGATGGGAGAATTTTGAGCTTTGATGACAGGACTGGTCTTGTTTTTTACTTTGAGGGGGACAAGATTTATCCCTGGATTATCCTCATGGATGGGGATGGAAAGAATACGAAAGGTAGATATTATCAGCGGAATTCATATCTCAGTAGTCATGGTCACTGATATTTCAATTTTACGTGAGCTTCGACGGAAGCTCACGTAATTGAATCTATGCAATGGAATTTGTGTAATTTGAATAAATATTATGTCTTGGACGAGTCTTTAGAAATTGAGATCGATTTCTTAAAAAATGACGGTGAACTTTCAAGTTTTAGGTAGAATTCATAGGAATTCATAGAGTTCCAGTAGAGGTAAAACAAAAATTTATCAACTTACTTCAATGTTCAATTGAACATGAGTATTCAGAATAAATATTGTCAGAATGTTTATGATTCTTCTGAATTTTCATGGAAGCATTGAACTAAACTTCACACGTTTTATTATTTTCTGATAGAATGAACAGAAAATCAATGGAATGCCTTATTTTTGTGGAAATGTCACCTGACAAACATTTCCGGGATTTAACACAGAAAATTCAGACAAAAACTTTTAACAGCGTTTTTCCTCTGGGTTCAGAGATATTTAGCAAAAATACGACTCAAGATGAAGACGACTTCGGTTATTTTATCACTCGCCGGCCAGATTATATCACTCAAATTTGATTAAATTACACTGCTATCTGATTTATCAGTTCATCTACATATTTATTCATGTCCCACGTTGTTATGTCACAAATTAATTTGAATTGTTGAATCATTGCTCTGATCTTATGCAACACAATGATTATTACTTACGCTGCATCATCGTTGCGCAGCGTTTATCGAAGAACAGATAACAGATTTTAAAATGCATTGCGTTGGAAATGTTGCAGAAATGTCATAGAATCAGTTGATGAAATGCCTCAATTTTTTATTTCAGGTTTCAAATCTGAATGGGCCACTGTCAAGGATAATTTGCTTTATGTTGGGAGCATGGGGAAAGAGTGGACGACAAGCTCTGGAGAATTCACTAATAATAATCCAATGTGGGTGAAGGTGATCTCACCCAAGGGCGACGTGCGTTCGGTCAATTGGGTTGATAATTATAAGAAACTGAGGCGGGCTATTCATATTGAATTCCCTGGGTACATGCTCCATGAGTCTGGAATGTGGAGTGAGAGGAGGAACAGCTGGTTTTTCCTCCCCAGGAGGTGCTCTGAGGAGAGGTATAATGAGACCAAGGATGAAGTCATGAGTTGCAGTTATTTGCTGACTGCTAATGAAGATTTTTCCAGTATTAAGGTAATTTCCATTGTAAAGAAAATGAAGAGTTATTGGAACAACAACAATATTATTATTATGATTATGATTATAATTGTTATTATTATTAAGTTGAGACCGCGGTGAAATTTGAAAGTTTTTGTTCCAGCTAGGGACTTATTGAGGGAATTTTTATATATGAGGGGATATGTTCAAAAATCGAAAAAATGATTAATATAATCGATTTTACCCCGTGAATTAACGAAAATCAACATTTTTTATTTTTACCTTTAAAATCGTTCAAGTGTCAAAATTTTTATTCAATTGAAATTTTTTAAAATGTTCGTTACACTCTAGAGAAGGAAGTGTGCATTCGTTTTACGATCCCTCGAGGGATGTTTTTTTGGTTCATTTTTTCTGTCCATTTTTTAAATTAATTTTTTTTAAATTTAATTTTAAAATTAATTAATATTATTAAATAAATTTTCATTATTAAATTATTAATAATCAATGAATCTTCAATTTTTCATTACACTATCAATCAGTAATCCCTGCTAAATAATGACGAATACCTGGTTAATTAATTTTTTATAGTCATTACATTGTTAATTTTCATATCTCATTGAATATTAACAAACTTCAATTATCTGTGTAATTTTATCCGAGAATTACTCAAGTAATGATTACTTTCGTTATCAGTCAGGGAGCCGAATTGATGGTTAATTACTTGGTTATCGGGTGATGGATCAATGACTAATGGAAGTCTGACAAGTTATCATCGAATTTGGGTTTAATGGCATAACGAAAAGTTTCCCCGACTCCAGAAAGACATTTTCATTTTTCACTTTAAAAAGGCGCCTATCTGAGATAATAATGGCATCATTAACAATTAGTGACGTGTTCGACACTCAAAAATTTTATCAAATGTTCCTTCGAATTGCTGAAATATTGCATGAAATTTTATATTTGAAAAATCACTCCTAACATTCATGAAGTAAATCCTTCGATTTTCTTCGCAGACAACGAAAATTGAGGGAAGAATACCAGTCCGTGGCTTCTCAAGTTTCAAATTTCTCCCTGGCACAGACGATACCGTCATAATTGCTCTAAAATCCGAAGAGTTTCAAGGTCGAACAGCAACTTACATCACGGCGTTCACGATCGATGGAGAGATTCTAATGCCAGACATGAAAATAGCTGATTTAAAATTTGAGGGGTTCGAATTTGTGTGACGTACCTCATGAACTTGAGAAAAATTGAATTTTCACTTCTACAACTGTACATACATACCTTCGCCGCAGATTATTGTAAATATGTACAAAAATATTGGAGAGGGGGAAAATACTGGTCTCAACGACGTCTACAGTAGGGCAATTATGCAAATTATCTACGTCAATTCCACTGGACTTAAATCTTTGGTTTGAACGAATGGATTTTTTATCGCTTCTACGATGTTATATGTGCAATGAGCATTGAGTATCATTTTTTATAATAAATGATCAAGAGATTTGTGAATTAGACCTATTGGAAATTATCAAGATTTATGAATAAAAATTATTTATACTAATTTTGATCTTTATTATTGTTATTTTTGACGGCATACCTTAACGCTGACACTGCATTTTCTTGACACAATCACTTATCATCCGCAGTAGTTTCTCTTCTTTTTTAACACATGTCTTGTTTTGCATGAAGACCTTGTCTACAGAAATTGCAATTCCGTCATTCTCGTTATACAATACACATGCTAAAATCTACTAAAGTGTAATGTACCATCCCAATTACACATTGTGCCATCTAATTCCACCGTGTGCAATTCAAACATGTAAATTTTCATTTTATCGTGCAAAATTCGACACGTATAATTTAAGAAAAACACAAAATCCATAACATTCGAGCCCCGTTTGGTGGGCTTTGTTTTTTTTTAATTCCACATGCTGAAATTATACTTGTCAATTAATAATAACAAATTGAACATTTGCAAGTTTGACTTAGGGGACGTTGGGGTAAAACGGACATTTTTGGCTTTTTTTTAAATGTTAATGAGGGGTCGAAATGTTGATAAAATTTAATAATTTTTTCTTCAATACAAAGAACAATTCTTTCCCTTTGTGGCGAGCCTAAACTGAGCTCAACTGATAAATTTTTTTCTGAGTTATGAATAATTTTAAAAAAGTCTAGTGGCCATTCTACCCCACCCGCCCCTATACAATGTAAAACTCTGCACAAATTTCGTACGTATTTGCTCCCCAAGAATATTCGTTTCATGCGAAACAAGGGACAGTAGTTTTTCGCTTGGCTATTCAATAATCGCAGATAAGAAATGAATTCTTAAACAAAATAATAAAGATGATAGTAATCCCGTAACTTGGAAACAAAATATTTCTTGATGGATTTCCCTTTATGAGACATTTTCATTCCGGAAAGGCATCATCTCGTGTGAATGATCCCCCTCTTGAGCCGTATATTTCGGTGTTGTTGAAAGCAGAATAATTATTCCTGTTTGATGCTTTCGAATTCAAATCAAACAATTTCTTTTTCGGTAATTGTGAACTTGCGATTTTTTTGTTCCAAACAAGACTTCTGAGAACTTGTTCGTTCTACTCTTAGCGTATTTATGTTTTTGTTTTTCAAGCCCTCTGATGTTCTTAATCAATTAATGAATTTCCAGTCAACTTAATGAAATTCGAAGCGACTCAGCACGCAAGCGCCTGCAGGTGCTTGCGCTTGCGAAGTATGACCGATTAGCTGCAATATTTATATATTTCCCAAAAACTAAACAAATGCAAAATGGTGATATTGAATAGTATCTCTTGAGTTACGTATGATTAAATAATGGCCACAAATGACCCACATAGTGGTGTAATTCTCCGACTCGTGCCAAAATCAATACAATGCACCTTTCGTGAGATATGTTACAATGGAAGGGCAGCACTACCCAGCACTACTGCACACAACCCGATGGGTTACTTGACCCTACGGTAGCATCACAATCACTCCAGTGATACAACCATGTTTATAAATATTATCCGACGATTAGAGTGATTTAATAATAAAATGTTTGTGGAGTTGATGACAATCAATCATCCCGAGTGATAATGGCAGCCACTTCGGAGCCGGATTGGAGTGTTGCTAAAAGGGGTCTTGCCCTTTTCTTGAACAATAAGCCTGACGAAGCCGAACTACTGTTTGCTGATAGGAATGATAGCTTCCATGTGAAAACAGCACGTTGCTACATGCTTTTCATGGTGAGTATTATAAATTAGTGTGGAGTCTATTAAATCGGGAGTTTGGCCGCGAGGAGCTTTTTAATGACTCTGGGATTTATTTTAGAACGCACTTATGACATTTGAGGATGAGAAATTCCAGCTGGCCATGAAGTTATTAAAAGAAACAGAGAGAGAATGTGTTGGAGATGTTGGGTGGTTGAAGAGTGTTACTAATAAAGTTTTTGGATCTACTGCGAATGATGTGAGTTCAAGTTTCCATTTGGGGCTTTTGTTTTGAAAATTGTTAGAGGAATGATGTTGCAGAGAAGTGGTAAATCCGGTAATTGAGGCAGCCGCGCATTTCTCGAGTTGGTTCTTTCATTTGAGCCCAAAAAACTTTCATATCTTGTCTGACATCTTTTCTACAAACTCGGGTCTTCAACTCGGGCCTTCAATTGAAAGCCCGAATTCTAGACCCGAGTTTGTAGCAGCGATGTCAGACAAGATATGAATGTTTTTTTGGGCTCAAATGAAAGAGAGGGCCGATAAATGGCGTGCTAGGGCCTCTAAAGATGGTTTTGAACCAGGGGAGACTCCTAGACCCCACTGGACAATGTTGTCACAATTGCGCTTTTCAATTGAAAACAGACATCATCTTTAGAGACATTTGTCATCTTTAAAGACTTCTGCACGCCATTTTTCGAGCCGCTCTTTCATTTGAGCCAAAAAAAACACTTATATCTTGTCTGACATCTCTGCTACAAACTCTGGTCATCAACTCTGATTTTCAGTTGAAATTGGAATTGTTATTTTACACAATAATAGGATTGCATTGACGATTTTTTCTTAACTCGCAAAAATCTTCAAACAATTTGCTATCGATTGGTGATAAAATTTTTTGGAAATAATGAAATAGGGGGGATAACGCCTTTTTTTTCAGGAGTGATTTTTCAAAAATTTATTTTAAAAAAAGTACTAACTAGCAAATGTTTTTTATTAGCTCGCAATTTTCTTCAAAACTACTTCAATGAGGAAAAAAATCATGTTGGGGTTATTTTTCCTGATTTCTTAAAATTACTCATGACCGCATCAACTGCATTTTCAATAAAACGAGGGAATCAATTTATTGCGTTGCATCACTCCATTGCCAATAACAATGAACATCCAAAGATTTCTCCCATTCGTTTTTCATACATTCCCCCCGTCCCCACGATTTTGCTGAGATAGCATTTCTGAATAAAACTCGAATAATTTCTCCAAACATTATATTTCACCCGTACGCTCCGATTTAGGACGACTACGCAAGAAAACTAGAGAAACAAATTGTTCTGGCAGACACCCAAGTATGTACCGCAATGCTGGTACTCCTTCAACAGGAAGTCAGCAGTTACGTACGAGGTGGATGGATGATGAGGAAGGCGTGGAGAATTTATCAGCACACGTATTGTCAAATTCTCCAGCTCTATCGACGTACATTCGGCATCAATCCATCGGGTAATTCAATCCCCCCGCCTCCACCCCTTCCTCGCCGCTTCCCCAGTGCCAAAACAGTTCATTATCGATTTTCAATCCCCCGAAATATGTTTCACAGGTTTCAACGGGAATTACATGAATAATGAGAATGGACTTTTGAGCTCACGCTACAGAAGTTCAGAGTGGTCTCTGGGGTCTTACCACAGCACTACTTCCACATCCACTCCAATACTCTCGCCCTCTTCCATTAAAAATTCATTGTCAATGATATTTTCGCTCACTGGAATGACGAATGAGCCTGAGAATAAGTACGTGAGATTGAAATAGACATGATGAAGATAAAAAAAAAATAAGCTGGGTGTAGGTCATGGGATAGAGGATGAAATGAGTCGAAGCTCGAAGCTTTGATTATTAAAGCTTCCTCAGGCTCTCGACGAATTATTGGTAGTGAAGAGCCCGAAGGAGTTTAACTCTCCGTTGGTCGCGCCGTGAGCGCCGCGTCGCACTTTTTCCGATTTTTTGAGTTACACTGCAGTAAAGCCTCAGAAAAATTTGAAAAAATTTGACATCTCATTTTGAAGTGTCTAGAAGCCCCATCAGTGAAAATATCCGTCAAAAATATCATAAGAAGTTGATTTTCCAATCTTTATTCCGAAACTTCGGGCCGGGTACTGAATATAAGGCGAATTTTCAGGCGAATTTCAAATATACAATCTAGATTACTCTTGATTTTTTTCAGATTTTTCCTGGATCTTTCAAATTTATCATTATGCCGATTTATACTGGTGAGCGCGGCGGTTACGGCGCGACCAACGGAGTGTTAAACAATGACACATCGCTAATTGATAATTAATTGCTACTGTACGCTCATTTTGAGCAATATCCCCTGACCTACACTAACGCCTCAGAGAAATGACGCGCCTGAACCAGATAAAACTCCTTATTTGAAACTTTTTTTGTCACTTCCACAATATTGTCGTTGGAAATTAACAAACTCCAATATTTTTTTCATTAAAGAAGTTTCAATTGCAAATATAAATGATTCATTCATTCTAAAGAGACCTTCATTAGAATCAAATAAACTATTATTACATCATACTAAATTCGTTCTCCTCGCCGTTCGAACAATTATTTCATTTTTAACTAATAGAGTATTCATTCAGAGCGAGGAAACACTTATTTGTGCGCAAAAAACTATTATATTCCACGCGAATAAACATTGAAATTTAATAAACTCACTTATGTGATCCAAATTTACTCAATTCAAATAAACCATTTCTCAGGGTGTAAAATATGAGCGTGAAATTCACTTCAAATTCAATCTTCAAATAAATGAATGAATATTTCCAGTTTTGTAGAGCCAGCGGAAGTGATTCGCCTAATGTCAGCCGTCAGTTTCGGTTACGGAATTTTTCAATTATGCGTCAGCCTCGTGCCCCCGTCACTCCTCAAGTTAATCCATTTTTTGGGATTTGAGGGGGATAGACGTGCAGGGTTGACAGCTCTAATGTATGCAAGGCTGAGTGAAGACATGCGTGCACCACTCGCTACGTAAGTGAATTCAGTAGTGGCATCGTAAAACCAGACAGCGCCATTCATGTTCAGAGTGACTTTGATAGATGTCTCAGCAACTAATTATTGATTTGTATCATCACTATTATTGATTCATTCATTCATTACATGGTTCAATTACACAACGAGTTGTAACGATTTATTATTTATTGATTGATTGATCATCTATTTCCACTATTCTCCATAAGATCGCGACATCACAGAGTGTTTTCACCGATTTTTTTTGTAATTAACATCTTTAGTTGCACGATTTGGCATTGCAGGTGTTCCTTCAATTAATTACTTGTTAATTTTTCCTACTTTCTAAAATACAAAAAATTCGTGAGTGCAAGTGGGGAAAAATGGACAATTTTAGGTTTTTTTAAAACATTAATGACTCATTGAATTTTTAATAACCATTTTGGTCCCATGGAATCTACTATTCTTCCCCTTTGTTTAGAGCCTAGACGGAGCTCAATTGATGAATTAATTCTTAAGTAATGAACATGAAAAAAAAAAATAAACTGTCCATTTCGCGGCATCCTGCCTGATATTTGTCACTGAAATGTCATCCAATTTTGTTATTTCATCATTCTATTCAATAAAAAAATGTCACGCAGCAACGCACTCGATTTGAAAACTCAATAAAGATGTCAATTGATTCCAGGCTATCTCTCTTATGTTATCACACAATAGTACGGCCATTCTGTTCCCTCCACGATTGGAATATAAAATCCGGAGTCGACGCCGCGAAGCAGTTAATCAGCGAGTGTCAGCAGGATTATCAGAATGGAGCTCTCTTTCTATTCTTCTCAGGTCGCACTGAACGTCTCCAGGTGCTCAAGCATTCGCCGAAAATGTCATTTATCACGAGTTATATAACATTTTTTATCGCACGTCTGTAAACTAGCAATTTACGAGTATTATCTGACGCATTTATAATCACGAGACCGAAGGCGCACTACAGCGCGCTGTAATTGTAACAATCATAATTCAAAATCTCAGAATTAAATTAATCATGAAATAAATTTGCCACCTCAGACGACTGCAACCAATGAAGAATAAGCGTAACAGACTTGCGAGATATCGATAGTTATCGACTTTAAGTGTAAATGTTCTTTTTAGAATAGGACATGACCAGATAATACTGTTATCGCCGTGTGACACAATATTTCAGTAGCAAAGTGGTCAATCGGTTTAAGTCAATTTCTTTAGTTGAGTTTTCCAGAAATATTGCCTAATGTAAGGGAGATAGCGAAATTTTCATAATAACCTTTTTTGTAGAGCGAATTGAGTGCTACTAAAATGATTATGGGAAAAATTTTGCTATTTCCCTTAGATTTCGAGATATTCATTGAAAACTGGCCAATACCCAAAATCGACTTAAACCGTTTGACCACTTCGCTACTGATTTTATATCACTGGGCCCGCGAAGCCTGATCTGACCGAGCGAAGCTCGTCGGAAACATCATTTCCCACGAGTTAGTACAATTTTTTATCGCACACCATCTTTAAATTGGAAATCTGCACACTCAGCGTGCGTAAAGTGCCGGTTTACAGGCAGGCGTGCTGCAAACGTCATTTACCAAGTCATTTACTCGTTACATGAGATATCGTTTCAACTGCCTCCAGCCACTCATATAAACCTTCACCATTCCAGTCAAATATTGATGCAGCTCTCGTCGCGTACGATAGAGCAATGTCCTCCTCCTCTCAAAGGGAAATTCAACTTCTCTGTCTTCACGAGGTGGCCTGGTGCTACGTCATCCGCTTGAATTATGCAAGGGCCTACGAATCCTTCGCCAGACTCCAGCATGACTCCAGATGGTGCGAGAGCATTTACGCGTATCTCGCAGCTGGTAATGGTCTCACGTTTTCTTGAAATTAAGTTCAGCAGTCTGACAGGTGTATGATGCATAATTTCATTACAGTGTGTTCTGGAGCGAGTGGCGAATCGCACGAAGTGCTCAGGACTTTCAGGGAAATTAATGTTATGATTTCTGGTGGGGGTAAAACGACGCAGTTGGATACATTTGTTGCGAGAAGAGCAGTGAAGTTGGTGGACCAGAATGAGGGTGTTTATACACCCGCCTATTATAAACTTTTGGTTTATGAACTACTTTATTTGTGGAATGCTATGCCCTCGTGTTCTATGGATTCGTTGAGGAACGTGATAGCGGGTATGTAATGGGATTAAAGTTGGGGAAAATTGAGAGAGGAGGAAGAGTTCGGTGTGGTGAAAGTAACTCGACCCTTACAATATGTTCAAAGATTACTGGAAACTACAAAGAATTCCCAGAAAACTCGATTACGGTTGGAGTGGTCATTTTTTCCGCAATTTGATGCCCGTTTTGGTTCTTTAAAGAAACAATGTCGAAAAATCAAAATTAAAACCGACGGTTTAGGTGGAAAGGAATACTTTTTTATGATTAAAGACTAAAATCTGAATTTTTTCCCCTTGGATATGGAAAAATCGAGAAATTTGTTAGGACTTCACTTCAATTTCAAACATTTAATTACGAGAAGCAAACGTTTCAAAAATTATTTTGCACAATGTAATTTGAATGATTGATTATGATTAATTATGTATCAATTTTTTCAAAATTTCTTCGCGCAATTTAGTTGGAAACTTCAAAAACTGAAGATGACCAAATAATTTTAATTGGACTGTGAATTAATTTATTCAATTGCAAATTCGTTCTGAGTGAAGGAGTTCAAGGGAATTTGGCTGCAATTAGAAGACCCTCTGACTGTGCGTGTGAACTGTCAACGCTGGCAAATGAAATTCAAGTCACGATGAAATCGCTCATGGAATTGATTTTATATCATCTGGAAATTCCGTAAAAATGAATTTTTCATATTAATTGATGATTGATGCTTCAATGACAGCTCAAGTTTTCGAACTAATTGCAAAAATATAAAATATAATGCCAATGGGTGAAAACTTCTTCATTGGTGACACATTCACAAGAAAAGTCGCGTATTGTTTTGGCTCATTAGCTTTCCCACTCGATTCTCGTATTCCAAAATCTCCCCCTCATAAAAATCCATCCATTCTAATTTCTCAAAACACTCTTCTATTCTTGCAGAATGTAAAAATAGTCAGAATGATGAACCCATGACGGGCTTGGCCTACCTCATAGCAGGCGCCGCTCACTCTTACCTGGATGAGCAAGTGACTGCCGTTAAATGCTTTAAAAATTGTTTGAAACTACGTGTGCCCAACAGTGATAATGAGAATCAACACATCAGTGCTTTTGCACTTTACGAACTTGGAAGCACGCTGTGTAAATCAAACGTAAGTGGCTTCGTTACGAATACGTCACAACCAAATGACCCCATTCATGTTTTCCTAATAAGCCGAATCAAAAAGTAATCGTATTATGAATTATTGCAGTCAATTCAGGAGGGTGTAAGTGCACTGCTGAAAGCACAATCACAGTACAGTGATTACGATTTCGAAAGTCGCCTGAGTGTGCGAATACACTCGGCCCTCAAAGCCCACTCACAATAATGTATAAAGAACACGGATGTCATTTTACCAATGTACTCATTTGCCTTCGATCCTAAGTAAGATCTACTCCGTCTGTAAAATTAATATGAGTGCACAGAGAAAAATGTTGGAGAAGAATTACAAAACAAGTGAAGTAATCGTGGAGTGGAATTTATTCCTAGGTTTTTTATAATAGTGAATTTTTCTTTGTCAGCTCCGAAAAATTTCCTGAATGCGAGGGTAATTTGCCTTGACACTGTAAAATTTACCCGAATTCCATAAAAAAACTACAAAAATCAACGTGAAGAATTGCTCAATGTGCAGGAATTTTTCTGTAACGGAGAAGAATTTTTCGGTTCAAGAGCTTCATTTCTCCTCGTCCGGGGATTGGGATCGTAATATACTATTATTTATTAATTAATTAATTTATTTATTGAGCTTTATGACTATGTCCTGGGGTAACAATCACCCCCTAAGGACAACCCAAATATGTCACATGAATTAATTAGCCTACAAAGAATTACAGAGTATAACTAAACTCTAGGAATTAACTCTATTTCTTCACGATGTCCGTAAACGGCGTTTGACAGACACAAAGTGTTCGCAAAGCCCCGTTTTACGGACAGTGTGACGAAATTGTATTTTTTTTAATGCAAGACATTTCGCTCTACGATTACCGTTCGCATAGTAAAATTTGCCGATATTTTTTAGATTATTTTTCTCCAACTTTTCTCTCCGTGGAGGAAGGGGCGGGGCTAAACGGAGCCATTTGTGTTTTCTTCAAATGTTAATGAATCCTTGAATTGTTTATCAGACGGGATAATTTTTTTCCCGTGGGAAGTGGGAAGGATCTCTAAGGAGCTCTAATTGAGCTCAATCGATGAATTCCCAAGTTATGAATACTCTAAAAAAATACAAAAGTGTCTGTTTTGCCCCGCCCATCCCTATGTAAATTGTATTTTGCCTGTACCACGTTGAATCTAACCCAATCAATCAGTATTACATGAGATTAGTGTAATATGTGTCTTTTTCCAATGCGGAAAGCAATCCCCGTCCAGATAATAAAAGGAATTCCTTATTGATAATCACTCGTGTTGTTATTTGTAAATTTAATCGTCACCATTCACCATTCTGATCCCAAATGCCTGTGACTGAGTTTTGACGTTCAGGAATGAAAAAAAAAACGATCAACTGTCAAAAAAATATTGAACACGATGAAGCCCAGATGAATTCCCGAAGTGGATGTTGCTGTATAAATTCCGGAAGTTGCCTAGCCAGAAGTGATAGTCGTAGGATATTGTATCAGTCGTTCACACGTACTCTAGTATTTTTTATAGTAACAAGCCTCCTCGGTAAGCGCTCACATCATTAAAACTTTCGACAATTATGGCATTGACGGAAATTGGTTAATTACTCCTCAGCGATGACTGTGTCTTACATCTGTGACAAATACTCCGCCAGCGGTTCCTTCCACACAATCAAATCCGATTTGAAAACTCTCCGGGGTCACTTGGATACACTCACGGTAAATCGGTAATTCAAGGTAACATGGGAAATCAAACTCACGGAATGATAGGGGCTGAATTATTCCTCAGGTGGAAGTTAAAAATGTCATTGAGCTGAGGGATGAGCTTAAGAATAGACTAAGAGAAATTAGCAGTGTTATGCCAAAAATGTCGGAAGCTATTTCGAAACTGCGTAACGAAGTGTCGGAAGGTAATTGATCATTCATTATTCGAAGTGTTCATTAATCTCGGTTTTTACCTGCCCTTGGGATTTTCGCGGTTCTTCCGGAAGACCTGGGTGCTGAGACGAGCGAGAAGTTCAAGGATGTGGTCAGGAGGGAAATACAGACTTACGATGCTGATAAAACTGGTCGCACCGATTATGCCCTCGAGGCAGCTGGTTAGCATTTTCGTTTAATTATTATGTTTTAGTTCAATTATTTCGTGGAAATTCAGGGAAATCGTGAAACATTTCGTCACTTCGATTCTGAATTTTCACGTTCAATTGAAAATTCAAATTTCATTTTTCCGTCTGACTTCTCCTGGAAAGTTATGAATTTTACTGGAAACTTGAAAGTTCATTCTCATTTTGTCTGGTTCGAATACCATTCTTGCAGGAAATATATATTACAGCGCTTACTGTAAATCGTGCTGTAATAATATTTTCCTAACGAGTCGGTAAATAACGTTTTGGGTGAGTGTGAGCAGGGTTATAATCACGCTCGTAAAAAATGTCATTTACCACGGGTTATGTAAATTTTTTTACCGCATAACGTGTGTAAATTGGTAATTTATGCACGCGAGGGATATTTTTTGTCACGACGTTCGTGAGCGGCTTTTTAGCACGCGCAGCGTGCGTAAAGCGAGGCTTCACGAAGTGAGTGACAACATAGTAGATTTCGTTATAAGGTCGAAAAGAACTTTTGTGGCGAATATGGGTTTGCAGCCCGAGCCGAGGGCTAGGGTTGCAATCATATGAACTAGAATTGTCACCCAATGACCTCCAAGTATCTTTAATGACCTTCGATTGATAACCTTCGACATTAAAAGGAGGATCAATCGTCTCGACGAGAGACACTGAGGCATACTCAACCGGCGCCTCGGTCCTCTCCCTATTCGGGATGCCCCTGTGTCAGAGCCGAAATACCCCAAGAACCGTGATACAGGTAAAAATAGACAGGGTACACGGAGAGAAATGTTCAGTAAAAATTACGGAACTCACAATTCCCTCACCGATTACGGAATCGACTCAGAAATTTTAAAGTAGCTCTACCCTTCGGCCGGACAGCGTGTACTTTTGGATATTTTCAGTTTTAAATTTTTCAACTAAATTGCATGGGAAAAATTCATACCCAGTCAGTATTATCTAAATTAAATTTCGCAAAATATTGATATTTTGTCAACCATTTTCCTCTTATAAATAAATAATAAAAATTGTTTGCAAAACGGTGGATTATTTTTTATGAGTTGTCAAAAAAATTCTGGATTTTTTCACATGTAATGAAAAAACATTCAGATTTTAATCTTTGATTTCAATGGAAATGTTGATTTTCATATAAGACGCTGGGTTAAATCCTGATTTTTCAACATTTCTTCTTTGAAAAACCAAAACGATAATTAAATTGAGAAAAAAATTAGAATTCCGAATCTAATCGGGTTTTCTGCAATTTTTTTGCAGCTTTCAATCATCTTTGAATTTACCGTAAGGGTAGAGCTACTTTAGGTGACGGTATCGTAATTTTTCACAGGAGATTCAGATAAAAATTACGAAACGCTCTGGAAAAATTCCGTGACAGTTCCGTAAGATTTCCTACTACCACATTTCGCTCCGGAATTACGGAAAAGATACGTAATTTTTGGGGAATATTTCTCTTCGTGTAGTTGAGTAATTGACATTAACAATGGTTGAGTTGATAGACAGGAGTTCTCCCCGGTGAATGTTGGGCATTCAAGGGGAACAGTGGATCTGTGGTTATCGAACTTCTGGGAAGTGTTTACGTTTCCGGTGTCACACTTGAACACATCTCACCCTCAATTTCTCCCACTGGCGAGACTTCCACTGCACCTCGAGACTTCTCTCTATGGGTAACTTTATTAGTTCTGAGTGATGAACAATTTACTAGAGCTTTGGAGTATAATCGAAACAATCAGGGCGCTGAATTTAATAGCACCAAGTTAACATTCCGGTAGCAAAGTTGGAAAACTAGATGAGTAAACTCAATTCAAGTTCAAATTTTCGATGGATATCTTGGAAAGCGAAGGGAACGGGGGAATTCTCTCGGAGACATTTCGCTATTTCCCTTGAGTTTTCATTAATTGTTTGAATTAATTATTATTGACGATATCCAAGTGCCTTTACAGTTTCGGACGAACTACTCCAATGGGATCTTTGTCTTGCCCATGTTCTCCTTCGGACGGAGATCTTCCAAAAAATATGAAGGATCTGTTTCGGAGGAATTTCAGAAAGCCGTAGAAATTTTGTCTTAACAGCCCTAGAATTTTTCATAAACAGTCGATTGTGATTTTTTTCAGCATTTGCACTCGATTTTTTCTAAAGAATTTCTCTCTGTCTTCGAATTCATCTCATATCGGGAACAAATGTGAACCTCCGCCTGAGACAAATCGGATGAAACAATTACCTGAAATCCGTCCGAGGCGGGTAGGAGAGACAAATATCCCATAAACATTAATCAAAATACAGGAGAAAAATCAAGGCAATAAGTTACTTTTTTTCTGTCAAATTTTGGGAAACTTTATTTTCTTGGCATGCCATCGATTTCAATACGAGTGACAAAAAAATCCCACAAGTTTCGGACTGATTTTTTCATCACCGAGTGAATAATAATTCTTACAAAAAAGAACTGATCGAAAAAAGATCGTAATTTCCAAAAATTGCAATGTTTTAGTTGTTCTATGGCTCTTTCTCAAAAAGTATTTTCACCGATTTTTCTAGATTTTCGAAACATTTCTTGACGGCTCAGAATAGAGAATCCCCCCGAGCCCTTCTAAGTTGAAATAATAAACTCATCGTAAACTATTCCAAAATCTAGTGTTAAATGGGACTCCAAAGAGCTGTGATATTGAAATTCAATAGTTGAAAAAAATCTCAACTAAAAAAAATATTAATCTGTCAGCACACTGTTTTAAAATTCTGTTAATTTTAACGAATCATCGTTTACATTCAGGGATTGAAACGCAAAGAAGACACAGAAGGTTTTCTATTCGGTGAATTCACCTACGACAATTGCAACCCACCAGTGCAATACTTCAAAGTCAAAAACACAGCGAAGGATCCTTACGAACTCGTCGAAGTAAAAATTCACTCCAACAGTGGTAGCCCCGAGTACACCTGCATCTACCGCATCCGAGTGCACGGTACTCTAAGTAGATTGAAAAAATAAGAGCTTAAATTAACGAGATAAGAGTGTGAATAATTAATCATATTTAACGGGTAATTTCATCACTCAATTTATTACTCACGTACATTGTTTGCCCCTTTAAGATCCAATATTTCGTCTCTAGATTTTTTAAATATTTTTTATTGTATACGCTATACACTAGGGCGCTGTTCCCGTTAATTTATTAATCTCGATCTCTCTCTCTCTCTCACATTCACCCGGCAACATCGTACATTCGATTGCATCAATATAATTACTTATTCATTAGACTTCTTTTTATGCACCCGCAAATACACATTTTGGTGCTTCCCATTTCATATTTTTTCACTGTAATAAATAAAACAGGGGTGTGGCACATTATCTACAGTGGTTTTCTCTCGTCACATTTTCTTTCCTAAACTTAAATTTAATTCAATTTTACGAGTACCACGCATATCGTTTCTTCTCATGTACGAATTCGGGTCTGGAGAAGGCTATTCATTTCTTGGTTTCTCTCTAATTCCACTTTATTGAGTTTCTCGTGAGGAAAATGGGGATTTGGAAAATGTAGATGTTTATCTTTTCCTTTCTCTTTAGAGTTTACGAAGGGTGCAGGTTTTTTTGTTCCTAAAAGAAGTAGAAAGTCAGGACTAATAGGGAAAGGGGGAAGGGACTTACACTAAATCGGCGCGGCGATGTCGTCGCGCCCAAAAATCACAAGTTATTATTGAATGCACATTGATTCAATGAATTCTGTGATAAAGTGGCAAAACTTGATCGTGTTGCGTACAAGATTATTTCGATAGTGAGTGATTTTACAAGAGAAAAACGTTGAGGAAGAATTACTGAAAAACTCAAATAATCATGAAAAGCAATTCCGTTTTAGTCCCTTTCTATTGCGGTTTGTCTTCGTTCGCTCCGAATAATTGACTGGCTATCATGTAAAAACACTTCAGAATTTCTTAAAAAATTTCTCCAGAGAACGCAAATGAGCCCTTCATTTCGCCTGAGAAATCCCGACCAGCGGCACATCTCTTACCTCAGAAAATACAAAATTTCTCTGTGAATTAATATTCATTCCTTACTATTCAAAAATAAAAATCGGCCCTAAAAATTCAACAATTTTTTAGGAATTGAGGAAAGATGATAGAACTCATGTAGAAAATTTTCCTGTATGAAGAGAGGCAATTATTGCTCCCACAACAGTCATTCTCTCACTTGACAAAACATAAAATTTTCTTCCCTAAACGAATCTTTTATCAATTTACATTTCTGCACAATTTTTCCTCCTTTTTCTCTCCGCATAAAATCACTCATGAACTCGATAATTCTCTCTGTTGTGTACCACTCCATCACCGAATTGTGACTTGTAAGCGCAAAGAGCATTGAAGAAACGGCCACGGTGCCCAGAGAGTCTCATATGGAGGAGGAAAAAGTGCGGGGAATGGCGTAAAAAGAGAACGTCAATCCCCAGTACAATTTATTCCAGATTGTCCAGGCAATTTATTTTCCTTTAGAACTTTGCGACACCGTCACCGTGCGAACGCTCGCCAACGAACGCGAAGGCATACAGTTTCATACTCCAATACAATATATTAATTATCTATACCTTTGTAGTATCAAAATAAACCTGCACATCGAGTGTAGATAGAATATTCTATGTACAATTGTAGAATTGTCTATATTGCTTTTTTTGGTTTTCAACATATTTATTCTCACGTTTATTTTCATTATTTTTGTTTCATCAATTCACCAACTTCTTACCTTTATTTGTAAAGTTTACTATTAATGACTCCTCCAACAGTTTTCAGTTTTTCGGCTGCACTTTGACATATTTTTTGTCCATATTTTTTTTAGTATCTTTTTTTCAGGAAATACTCTATGATTGAAATATATATCACAGATCTTAATGAGAAACGTTTCTAAATGTTCCGAAAGAAGCTGAAAATAGTTTTTTTATTATTTTAGTTACAATGGAACAATTGATTTTCTCATTTCGCTGGACGATGAAGGACAATTGCCTCCAGTTCATCCCCGAAATTTTGTTATTCCGTTAAAAACAAAAGTCAATAGTTATTTAATCTAGCAATTCCTACGTAAATTCAACGAGTGTCATGTGTAAAAGAGGAACATGACATTTAGCTCGTGAATAATGAGAGAAGATTGTCAATGGTTTGTTTTAATGGCAGAGCACTGTGGAAATATTAGAATAATACAATTCTCCATTGATTTCGAGTTTACGTTATTTTTCCCAATGCAACATATTGATCATTACATGCGAGTCACAGGGCGCATACGGTATACGCAGTACAAGAAGTGTGTTAACACTTACATTTCAATGTTTCTCCCCCTTCTCACATTTTTTTGACTCTTGATTAACGAGGAATCAACATCATTTGTCAAGCTCACCCTCTCTGATTGTCCTCTACGTATTTTTGTCCACTTGAAACTAAGTTCCCACTACATTTGTTTGTTTGTTTTCTATAAGAAAAAAAGACACCCTCAAGCATTGGTCAGAACATCGCGATTTTAGTTCACCCTGGAATATCCTCTCAATTCCATCACCACCCGAGACGAGAAAAATCGAGGAATTCTACACGAACGAAGAGGTTTTTGTTTTTCTCATTTCACAACGACGTCTATATTGTCATGCACTACGCATCTCTCGTGTCATTGTTTTATATTCCACCAAATCGCACAGTAAAGTTCATCAATTAAATGTTTACTTGAGGCAGCACACATACAATAACTCCCACGTTAACGTGTACAATTACCTACCTATCACCTATGTAATCACCTATATATGACTCATCATTAAACTCTAATACAAATTAATTCTTCATATTCATTTTTTTATAAACAGACTATGGAAGATTTATCACCGACTAACGAGTAGTACTCGTACACACCGATATTCAATTATGTTTCACGCGTCAAATTTACTTCTTATTTCATTAATAACATCATCAATCTGCGATGATTCATCAACAACACCAGTGCTTGTCTCTAAATAAGCACTTGGATCGACAATGATACTTATACTTTTACCATGCTCACCAGAGCTACCCGATGAACTATCATCAACATCCTCATCAACATAAATATTAACTTCAGCCTCTAGATCTCTAACGGGTGTGCAAATAACTTTATTAACTTCAGTTATATCTAAATCACTTGTACCAGCTGAATTATCATTCACCCCATCATCCCTAACACTCGTTGCAACATATAACTCATCGATATTAGTACCCTGAGACGACGAGAACTGTTCATTATCATTATCAGTGTATGTCTTAGTGTAATCACTGGTGATCTTGAATTTGGACGGTCTCCTCTCGTTAATTACAGAGTGAACGTCGAGATCTTCGGGTGGCTCGAGTCTCCCAAGTGGTTCATCCTTAGTCACATCCGGCCTGCGGCTTTTCGCCCCGTAACGCAGACTGTCGGGGCTGTCAACAACGGTTAATAAGTAATTTGTGGATTTTGTTGGTACACTTAGACTCGTGTCAGCTGTCTGTGGTGTCTCATCGAATGGCCTCCTCCCTATCGTCTTCACCTCGATACCCAGGCACACTCTCTCGCCGTCCTGCTCCACCTCGGGACGAAGATATTTGCTTTCGTGGGGCGATGGACTCCTCTGGGGAATAATTCGTGGTATCGAGAGATTGTTCACGGGTCTCGGTATCTCAGCTATTTCAAAGTGCGTCACGCTCGGCAGCAGTGGGCCACGCTGCTGCGAATGGAATGTTTGACGACGTTTGAGATTCATTCTCGACTGTTTAACACCACGATACGATGAGCTGCGTCTTCGACGATTGCTCCTACGCGTTGTCGAGCTAGACGAGTCGTCTGTGTGGAGTTGTCTCTCTGTTGGTGGATTGTAGATGAAGTTGGATGGTAAAGATCGAACTTTCGAGAGGCCTGGTCGTAATCTCTCCTTGAGGTATTCACCATGAAATTCACGAATACGTTTGTCAGCCAAGTCGTCGTACTTTCGCAATCTGTCGAGGCCATTCAGCCGTAGTTTCTCGAGGAGATCCTCATCACCAGCGTCCAATCCCAATTCAGCCGCCAACTCTTGTCTCTCGTTCTCCTCCTCCTCGGCCTCGGCTCGCTCAAGCAACTCCTGCTGTTCAGCCGCCAATTCTCGCTCCAACTGCATCTCCATGTCGAGCTCATCCTCGAGATGCTTGTGGCTCTCCTCGAGGTGTTTCATCAATACCGCAACCACAACATTAACAAGAACAAATTGTGCCATGAGAACAAAAATAACGAAGAAAATCGGCGCTATTATTGTACTGACACAGCAGTTCTTGACACAGTCTGTGGAATCGTCACAATCATCACGTAGTGTGTCCTTCATGATGCCATTCCAATTGTCACCGGTTGCTACCCTGAAGAGGGTCAAAAAGGCCATGCCAAAGTTACTGAAGTGCGCATGCTCACCGAGACCCTGACACGGTAGTTCATCGCTGCACTCTGCACAGATAAAATGAGGAGAACGAAAAAAAAGTGGAGATTGCAATTAAAATATCATGAAATCAATAGTTGAAACTACTTCATCGCCCGAATACGATTAAAATTAATGACTCACCGAGTCTACCAAACAGCTCCACCCCCAGCGCTGCAAATATGAAGAACAAGAGGAAGAATAAGAGACCCAAATTCCCCACCTGCGGCAATGCCTGCATCACCGTGTCTAACAGAGCTCTTATTCCCTTTGCCATCTTCAGTAGTTTCAGAACTGGAAGTATACGACATAATAAAAGTCGTTAAATTTACGAGGGACAATAAAAACTTATGGAAATAAAAATAATCCAATAGTTACAAAATCAATACTGACCTCTTGCAATACGCAAGACCCGCATAACACGAATAATTGTTGGATTTATCGGTATTATCTTGGACTCAAGCTCCTCAAGTACAATTCCAACAACCGATAGAATAACAATACCAATGTCAAGCTGATTCCATCTGTCCTTCATGTACAATTTAATTCCCAATGCAAGTACTTTCATCATAGATTCGAGAATGAATACAGCAGTGAAGAAGTAATTAAATATTTTCAATGCATATGTCAGTGCTTTTGGCATCATATAAAATTCCATGGCCATTGTTACAACATTTAATCCAATAACAGCGGCTATTGCAAGATCAAAATACTTTGATGTTACAACATTGTGCACCAGTAGTCTCGGCTTCGAGTAGTTTTGATAATAAGGTGGTTGATGCATTTTACGCCTCTTCTTTTCCATCTGCAGTGCCCTCTTGGCGGCTCTGCGTACCCGCTCCTCCTTCTCCTGCTCCTCACGGCAACGATGAAAATTTTCAACAACAACACCAACAAACATGTTCAAAACGAAGAAACCAACGAGCAAAATAAATGCTATGAAATACAACAAACGCCACTCCGAGTAGTTCTCCTCAGGCTGTTGATCAACACCAACAGCATCCAATCCTGTGTACATTATATTAACCCAACCGTCTCTCGATGATAATACGAAGAGTGACATAAGAGCTTTACCGAGATCATCAAAATTGTACTTTCTATTCACCCATACGTTTCTCTTATCCTTCAAGCAGTCTGTTTTATTGTGTACATCTTTAATATCAGGACCGTCGCAGTAAAAAAAGGCCCCTTTGAATAGCTGCACACCGAGTATACCAAATATTATGAAGAATGTGCAGCATATTAGAACGATATTGCCAATTGGCCTCAGGGATGATAACAACGTTTGCACCACTAGTTTGAGACCAGGTGCACGATTTATAACTCGTAGAGGCCTCAGTGATCTCAGTAGACGAAATACACGTAGTATTCCAAATATCCGTGGACTGCTGGACGATATTAAGGACATCAACAAGTCAACGATTGATATTATAACGAGGGAGCCGTCCATTATGTTCCAGCCAGAGGTAAAATAGGCGTCTGGACCGTACAGCATCCCCGAGGCCACCACCTGCAATCATATCGACAAAGGGGATTACTCGCAGTCTCTCGAATCCAGGTGCCACGATATCCTGAACATAATGTTTCTTCTACATATTTTTCTCATGCTACTTTCACAAATAACAGATGTTTCCCTTTAATACTGGATCCAGGTTGTTCTACACGATGTATGATACTTCAACAGAGCAGAACACACTTGCATCCATTTTTACAGTCTGAATAAAACAGTGACTCATGCACGATTCTGCTTAATGGAAGGCAAAAGGTAAAATATCGTTAAATGCATTTTGCGATTTAATTTTTGACCATCACTGAACAATTTCCAAATTGGCTTGCCTTTGTTGCAAGCGTTATATTATACACTGGCGAAATACTCCACTAGGTGTTTCAAGTTGACAGTAATTAAGAGCCCTGTATTTTGGGAAACAGCTACTACAATTAGTGAATTGCTTTTTCTAAAAACAGGTGAAACAAATTATTGCCACTACTCACCTTAACAAACATCTCGATTGCAAATACAACGGTGAATACATAATTGGCAGTGGCAAGAAATGCCCTCTCACGACTGTCTGATGTTATTGTAGGGCGTTCCATAGCAAGTGTTATGCAATTTAATCCGATAAATGCAAGTACAACATTGTCAAACCATTTTCTATCGACAAACCATGTACACCACATACGAAATCTATTGTTTGGTGAAAATATGTACAATGAGTATTCGTCTCGCTCTTTCATACAGCCCTTTGGCTCGAAAAACATGAAGATTTTTTTAATTCTCTCAACACTGCTTGCACTACCACCACCGTTTGAGGGGGGTGTTTGTTCACTGTGCGATGAGTATCTATCGTTCTCGGTATCATCTTGTACTCTTTTAATGCGCGGTAATGCACCCGTATCAATTGTCAAATTATTGATTGTTCGTGGTGTTGTACTGGATGGAATATCCTCGTAGGGCAAAACTTTGTGAGCCTGAACAATGTCATAGCTGCGAAGTGAATTTCTTCGGGATAAATCGTCAATCCATCTCATCTAGAAATTGAATAAAAGAATTCAAGGTGAGGAGTCTATTCAGCTGGAGATGCAATCGAATGAAATTGAAATGAGGGGAATGGAAAATGGAAAAATAATGGAAAACTCTCGAAGGGGGGTGGGGAGGGGGGGGGGCGAGTTTGAACATTCGATGAAGAGTGCTTTAATTAAAATAGAAAATTTTTCAATGAAAAGAGGAACTCCTTTTTGTATCCACCCACCTGATGAGAAGTCGTATAACAATGCCCTATTGACGAGCTATGACTCCTGATAGAATTGTTAGGGCTGAGGCTACGATTGTGGGTCGCAATCATGGTAGCACGGTTGTTGGGTGCATCTCTCTGCGTGTCATTGCGTATTGAACCGTGGAGGTATCCACCGTTGTAACCCATGTATTCACCGGTGCACAATCTACTTGATGAGGAAAAAATGTAAATACGAGAAATTTTTCATCAAATTGTGATGATGTAGGCGATGACGAAACGTTATAATAAACATTGGTATTGATGGTTAATATTAATGTTTATTGGAATCAGAAGTATTGGAATTATTGATGAATTAAATCTGATGAAATGGATCTCAATCTGAAGCCCGAGTGTCATTTATACCTTCGCGCCCGCACGTGTTTTTTTTTAATGAAATAGGAAATATGATAGAATCACTGAAGACGGGAGTTTATGTACCGTTATACGTCTTGTGACGTCAGAGGATATTGTTGGATAGGATTTTGGAGTGATAGGAGGGGAACTTTAGACCGGAATTTTGACACTCTCGCACTACAGATTCAACCATTTTCAATCATCAAATTTGTGAATTAAATTGCGTGGAAAAAATTTGACGAAAGTCATGAATATTCAGCGTCATTAACCCTCTGAGGCCCAATTCTTACGGAAAGTGCGAAGAGTGGTGAAAACGCCCATTCATCTCAGAGGGTTAAAATTACATTCTGCACAGAATTAATATTTTTCGAAACACTCGTTGTTTATAAGTAAATAATTTAAATTGTTTAAACTTCCAGAAATCTCATTTTTTACGCATGAAATCCATTTCTGGGAAAATTCTGAATATGAATAAATTTTTTGCGATTCCGAACAAATGATTTTCATGGTGGAAAATTGATTGTTTATAAATTATTTATAGAATTTATAAAATTATTTAATCAGTCTTTCTCCAAAAGTAAATTTTCAGTTTTTTTTTAGATTTTTAAAATGATTTCTAACGGTTCAATAATGAGATTCAAATTCAGGCCTGCTAAGTTTAAATAATAAAATTATTGTAAAATGTCCGGAAACTTAGGGTCAAATGGGGTTCAAATGAAAGCTCTGATGTTCGACTACAAAAGGAGAAAACCATTTCATTGGAGAAAAAATAGCCAAAGTACTTGGATATCCTCAAATAATGATGCATTTGGAATGATAACTTTACCCAAAATTCGATCCACTCGTGCTACGACCATTGTTCAAAATAGTGGCTTGTGCTGGGTCCTCATCACTCTGTGACCACCGTTTACGACAGATTGATGGCCGTGACAGACGCCAGGAATATCCCCTGCGTATTCTTGGTGGACTCGTGTTTGATAATTCACGGGATGGCGAGGAATTCGGGAATGTCGATATACCAGGGCTCATTCGTCTCGATGTCTGGCTTCCCACCAGATTGTTTGTTGCATACTTGTGGTTGTTGTTGTCCGGGGGCTTAAGGAATCCTGATGTTATGCTGCACTGACTCTGCGGAAGATGGAATCGATCGGTCATTTCCCTTTATCAATTCATAAAGCCTCGAGACTCTCAAGTGATCAAATGGAAAAACTGAGCAAGGCTGTAGCTCACTCAGTTATTAATCAGCAAATACCTCCGGACGGGAGGGGCTCAGAGAGATGTACCAAGGGACCTTTCTGCGTAAATTTTCAAGGGCTATAAGGAGAAAAAAATACGAGAATTTTTCTCGTGGAGGAATATGGGTTCAATCTCCCACACTGAGAAAAACTTTCTAGAAAAATTCGTGTGCTGGCACATAAACCCGTCACAATTCGCATACTTGAAAAAATTATTGTGTAGTACCAGAAAAATTATCGTTCAGCACCGGAAAAAATATTGCGAGAACCCCAATTTTTCTGGTGCCGCACGAGAATTTTTCTGCAAACTTTTTCTCCGTGCAGACCCAAACGAAAATTTTTCGTCTATTCACGAAAATTTCTCACAGCCACAGTATTTAATTTGGTGGCGCCAGTAACATTTAGTGGATTCCATTAAAAAAGTGGGGTTTCCCCTCAGTTGACTGGCACAAAAAATTATACTTAGAGATGTTGAAAAATTAATTCCAATCGAAGGGAAAAGTCCTGAAAGAACGATAATGTTCCTTACTCTTCGCGATAAATTTCGTCCGGGAGAGCCATTCGAGGCAGGCGATAAAAAGCCATGGAAAAAAATATCACGCACACGAAATACATCTCGTAATGAATTCTGCTGGACCCCTCCAATCCCGAGATCTCCGGAAAATAATTAGAGGATCACAACAGTACAAATGCCCCAGGCAATTTCAACTCACACTAGATCGATCAATGGATTCGATTGACAAATTAATCGGATAAATGGCCCGGTAATTAATGTCTCTGTAACCAGTGTCCAATGTGGTATTCGGAGAATCCTGGGGCGTCGCCGCAGTGTGAGTTATCGTGGGTGGTTGACCCGCGACCCCCATCATTTTATTCTCTTTCTGTATGTTACACTTGAGCTCCTCGATAGCCGCCTTCCTCCACATGCGATTATGCTTGTCCCGTCTGTAGTTATCCTTGAATTTTCGAAGATCGTCGACACTTTGCCACGAATTCTTGCGCTCCTGAAATTCGATAATGCAAGGCAGGCACGTATTAGTGGGAGACAGCACGGAAATTTCGAAACTGCAGGTGACTTTATCCACCATGCTGACGAGTTTACCACTTCGATTTAATGTGAAAAATATAAAAACATTGGGTTTTAATTTTTTTTATTGATCAGAAAGAAGCTTTAGGAGAATAAACTCTTCAAAAGTGTCCTCATCATGCTTGTCTGAATAATAAAATCATTTTACAATGATTTTATTATTTAAACGTCGCAGATCTGAATTTGAATTTCGAAATAATTTCAATTATTTATTTATAAAAAACGAATGTTGAAAAAATAATAATTCCGTGCAAAATGTAATTTAAATGACGCTAAATATTCATGATTTTTTGATGATATAAATCTGTAGTGCCTCCTGTACCGAACTGTAAAAGATTCTTGAACATCCTTAATACGGAAATAGTAAACTCATCAGCGCGATAAACGAAGATTCCCTGCGATTATGAATTTTTCGTGCGCTTTCCGCTTAAGAAAACCATTCAAGTCCATCGAGAGGACATTCGAATGTACACAGGAGTATACGAACTTGAGGGGTGTAGGTGTCACTGTCGGTTATCGAGTGTGACCCTGACAGTCTCGAGCTAGATCCCTCGTCACTGCCAATACCAGACTCCTTCGCAGCGAGCTTTGCCATTTCCCTTTGTTCCCTTTCACGTCGTTCATTTCTCTACAGAGAGAAAGTAAACAAACCGGAGAAAAAAATGTTGAGGTAAGCGGGGGGGAATAAAAAACGGAGAATTAATTGCCGGGGCTTTCTGACATGAAATCCCCGTCTAACTCAGAGTGGATTCACTTACCTCGGAAGAAAAACCCTCGACAAGAATGGCAACGAGCAAATTGAACAGAACATAATTGCCAAATGTCATTAGTGCGACAAAGTAGAGTGCAGCCCAGTGAGATGTCTTCTGCATCCCATTGAATAGCACAACATTCCAGTCCTCCTGTGTAAGTATCTGTTCGAAAGATAAATAAAGTATCCCAGTGAAATACCAAGTTTTTTTTAATCCACTAGAACGTCAAATCAAGAAATGAAACGAGAGAAAAACAAAAGTTGTAGGGAAAAAAAATTGAGGTAACGATCGAAGCAGAGAGAAGAAAGTTCGACTACATCCACATATTTTATTCATCTCAATAAAACATCATAGGGCTTTTAGATCAATGAGGAGAATTGGAAATAATGTCAAAAGAAAAATACTAGCCATGCTTCCATCGTTATTCTCGATGTTGGCATGTGAGTAAATAATTTAAAATCATAAATACAACATTCCCCGAGTGTACGAGTGTTTGTTTGCTTAACGAGCGCTGTAAGTACAACGACATTTATGAATGTAAACAGTAAATAATAGAGAACAATGACAGACAGTGAAGAGACATACAACAGACAAGAAGAAGTTGATAAAAGTTGGGTTTTATTCAGGTGCTTGTAAAATACTCAGTGAGAGGGTAGCTTTTATCGAAACATTGGTACCTGAAATACAGTGACAAGTGCCCAGACGATGTCGTTGAAATGCTTTCGATCACAGCGACACATTGGGTGGTGTGATACCACTTCGGCACAGGTACATGGCCGACTCCGGTCCGCCCACATGCAAAACTTACCCCCGAACAGGTACATTCCTAGTATGCTGCAACCGAAGACAATCCGGTATCGCCTTAGAGTCATTTGTCTTATCCACATTCTCCGGGATTGGGGGTGGGGTACAATTATTATTTTATGGCGGATGGTTCTATTATCACCAGCTCCGAGACACCGTTTCTCTATGTGGGAGGATTTAGTGGGATTTACGGGGAGTGTCACTGATTGTGAGATTTTCCGAGTTTTGACGGGAATACTCATTTGAATTAAGAATATTGGAGTTTTCGGTGCAGTGGGAGTAGAAAAGAGGTTGCATGATGTAATTGTGTAACGAATTTGGGAAATTTGCCTGGTTACGTGCCATGATAACTAGTTCGAATGAATTACACTGGTAGAAAAGATTATTTTTATTGAGATGTTTCTTTCTTAGAACAAGTACTATAAAATAAATCAGGTCTTACGGTGAATGTCAATCATTTCTTCTTGAGGTACATTTACTTGAATCAAATAAAACAGTCCTTGGCGTCAAGTTACATGCATTCACCACAAAAATGGAAAAGTTCAATTTTTTTTTACCGAATATAATGTCCAGTCGAGAAATTTTCTACTTTCATGAATTGATAATCTTTCGAGAACTAAAATTCGTATCTAGAAGATGATTGAATTGAGGAATGAATTGAATGCTGTTTTTTTAATGAAGCCGATGTTTAAATTGAGCGATACTTTGGGCTAAATACGAGCGCGTAAAAGTGTTTTTCGACCTGTGGGAGGCGCATAGCGCTCGCCGAATGCGCGTGCGAAAAATTTCACTTCACGCATTAGTGATGAAATAGTATTTTTCGACACAGTGACAAAACTTTTTTTTCACAACGTTCGTGAGCGGCGTCTTATCACGCGCAGCGTGCGTGAATCGAGGCTTCGCGAACCGAGTGGAAAAATGTATATTCCCGCCAAAAATCCGTTTTCCTCTCAGTAACACCAAAACAAATAACCTCAATCATTCTCCTGGTTTTTAAATGAAAAAAAAATATTTACAAACTAAGGGTTGGTTTTGCGTGCGTCCGTACACGTAAAATACGAGCGTTTGCGTATTGTATATTTAAGCAGTTAGGGTAGTTTAATCAAAACCAGAAGGAGGGACCAACATTCCGCAGGGGTTGGACGGAAAAAAATTAGGGGAGAAAAAAAACAGGGATGAGGCTCATTGAGGCAGATCTGAGGCAATCAGCTCACGGCCTCTATCCCAAGTGGCACTCAAGCATGAGGTAAGTGAGAATAGGGTTGTGGGGGGGGACTCAACTAATTAGCAGTATTTTGTACGATGTTCTTCGAAGCTCGCTCAAAACCATTGTAAGTACACTGGATAAAATACAACTATATATTATACTGCATATGTGTGTATGAAAAAATGGTATTACATGTGAGTTTGTGATTACTGTGATGATGCTATTCTCTTATTAATTCAACTATAAACTCTTAATGATACTCTATCCGTGGTAATGCGTTAATTTTTAATGATCGCTGTTAATTGTGTATCCGCCCTCTTTCGCATCGCGAGAAGAAAAAGCACTGGGTCTTAGCTTCCTGAACTATCATTCCGAAGAGTGTACAGTAACCCGAGAGTGTTTGAACGACGTCGGGCGGCAAATATGCACTGCACGATATCATAATAATCATAATTTAACACTGATAAATGATAATCATGCATAAGCTAACATTGATAGCGGCCAGAATCAACGATCGACCTTCTTTGCACACATAAAGAAGACGTCGAACGGGCATGCAAAAGCGATCGACCGCAGCCCAACGCAATTATCATTGGAATATACCCGGCTGTTATATTCAGAATGTTCACCGAATGAGGCAGCTCGTTGAATGTAACATTGTTCCCTCAAATTCCTTTGGTTTCTAAATCCTTTCCCCGTGGCATTTTCGTTCACCGTGATTACGGCAGTCACGCGAGAGTTACGATACTACGAATTGAGCTCCAAAGTTCTTGGTCTAACCCGATAATCCCATTTCCCCCAGAAGTTGAAAATGTAAATAATTTACATTCGTCGTTATGTATTCATGTACTCAATTTCTACCCTCAAATCCCAATCATCCCAAGAGTATACAGTGTGAGTTTTTTCAGAGTAACAGAGGTCATTCATAGTTTATGTGGAAGCAAGAGAAGCGTGGTGATGGACAGGGGATAGGCACAGGCATCATGCTCAAGATTATTAATCTTTCGTTACTCGTGTGGGATGCACTACACACCCCAGGGATTTTTTCAATAATTTTTTGAAGTATTTCAATTATCCATTTCCATTTTTTCGTTTTTATCGTTTATTATGTTTAGTTATCCGGTTGTAATTATAAGAAAAACGCAATTGAAAATTTTGTTGAAAAATCAACGAGTAACGAAGGACTCACCAATACTGTGAGATTATATTCTTGGATTTTGTTATGTTTCCTCAAATAGATTGAAGATGATTGATTGATGCATTACAAGAGGAGTTAAGGGGAAGTAGATTATCAGATAAAAAAATTAGTCAAGAGATAAAATTCCGTCATTCCAAAAAACTTATACGTTACCTTTGTTCATAAATCATAAATGTAGATATGCGGTCACACACGAGAGTTTAGCTTTAAAAGAGTAACATATTGATAGACAATGGTGAACAAGAGAAGTGGAGAGATAGTGGAAGATTACAGTGGAGAGTTCAAATGTGAGAGGGAAGTGAGAGATTCACAGATTCAAGAGAGATCATGGAGAATTAGATGAATGGAGATTCAACAGATTTGAAGAAAAAAAAGATAAATATGGTTATACTACAGCCCTCGACGAACTCATTAATTTCAATCTCTTTTTAGTAATTTGTTAAATTCTTTTTTTTTTGTTATCCTGGTTAACTTTATGTGGATACCTGAAACACTGTCACTATTGCCCACAGTAACGAGTCAAAGTTTTTTCTATCGCACTCGACGTCAGAGCTGCCTTTCATCGTTTCACGGAATTTGCAACCGAACAGGTTCATCCCGAGAATACTACAACACAACGAAACGTGCGATATACAATTTTTTTTGTCTGCTCTTCTCAAATCCTGATTAGCTTCATCCTCCTTAACTTTTTCATTCTTAAACTCTACGTATTCTCAAAGCGCTCATCAACCAAAATCCCTTTGCTCTCAAACAATCCAGTGAATTTTATTTAACCATGAAAATCAACGGTTGAAAAATCGGTCTGTGAAGTAAACACGAGAAATAAAAAACAGAAAAACAAAAAAGAGAAGATAATAATCCTCTGGCACAAATGCTGAATGCACAGTATTTCATTAATGGATGCCTGAAGCGTCGTACTCGGTCTTTGAGTGGCCCGAAAGAGACAGAAAATGGGGAAAATGAGGGGAGTGGTGGGATAACTAAAAAAAAAGTAATAAAGCGACTCGTAAGCGACCTCATTGGATAGACGATTTAAGGATTTTCCACGTGGGGGGAGGTACACATCTGCCAAGCTTTACTAAAATATCGACGACAAAAAACATCGAGGATTGGGCGCATCAGAGTCACTCGTCAACAATGGAGAGAAACATTTTGAATGAAAAAAAAAATTGAATTCGATGTGAACAGAGCAGTAGAGTTAGGATCAAAGTACATGTAAACGCACGTCACTAATACATCTTTCATGTGCTCGCGTTAATGAGTCTCAATGATTTCATGAACTTGAGAAGTGGAAGTGGTATGAGAGCACTCAAATAACTGACAAATCAAAAATATAAAACGATATTGAGATATTGTGACGTTTGAAGTTTCACACACAAGCATTTCTCCCGTTAAAATGAGCAAATTAAATCAATAATGAAATTAATTGAGAAATGTAATGAGTGGAGCCGGCACAATTTGTCTAGACACATCACGATTGGTAATCAACAATATAAAAAGCACCATGCATAACACGTAATAGATCAATTCTAGTGAATATATAGTTCGATGCCTCAAGCAATTTCAGACCAAAAGGTGACAATGAAGAGAATTGTCACATCCATTTAATCTCTTTCTTTTGTATCATATTTTGTTAACGTGCCAACAACACCATCATCACCCATATTACACCGTCAGCGTTGTGTACTTCAATAAAAAAGAAATGACTTTAAAAAAAGCTCAAGCCATTGGCTGAAAGTCCAACCATTCACCACGATTAATTACTAGCAGTAAAAATCCCCCCTTACTGATTCCTACTCTCTTTTTTATACTTTTATTACAGTTACCCCTTACTCCCACTTTTTTATTTGTTTCATTGGAGAGAGGGCGCATTCGCACTAGACCGATGTTTCGACCAAACTCAAAATAACGATCGATTTTTCAAACAAAAAATGAATAAGCCTGCAGATGAAATGAAAATTCACGTGAATTTTCATGACTTTTTATTGTCTCCGCGGAGTAATTGAGAAAAATTGACAAAAATCAATGTCCGACGAATGATAAAAATACATATTTTCGGCTTTCAGCGTAAAAACAGATCATTCGAACAAATATTCATATATATGACGATAAATTTGATGTAAATGATAATTAAATAGCTATTGTTTCGTGACTTACCTGAATATAAAGATGAAGAGAACGAGGAGGGAAAAGAATACCGCAACATTGTCCATTGTACGTAGCATAACGAATAATTGACGTCGTAAATTTGGCATAAAACGCACGAGTTTGAGGATTCTCAGAAGGCGAAATGTACGCAGTACACTCAAGCCTGAACTACCACCACGTTCAGCAGTGAGTGATTGACAAAGCTCGACGACACTGTGAATTTAATGCATTACCATTGGATTATACGTGGAGATGCTGAATAATTAGACGAGAGACATTTGCGGGCTAATCACGGGGAGGCGTGATTGAATTACCTAAGTATAACGACGATACCATCAAAGACGTTAAAGCCATTCGAGATGTATCCAAAGGGTCCCTCGGCTATGACTTTAAGCAACATTTCCACGGCAAATACAGCCGAGAAAACGGTGTTACTTATCTCCACTATCAGTGTCAATTGTTCCGGCTGTGGACGAAATTTCATCCGTTGAAAGGGGAGAAAAATATTTGAGAAACGGGAGGTAAATTTTCGGGAAAAATCTCAACTTCAGCCCTTTCTTTTTCCCTCAAGGATATCCAAGTATCTTTTATAGTTTAGCAGTTTGAGGAAGCGCGAGAGTACGTGGAAATCCTTCATTTACCTGATTATGATATTCGATTCCCATACTGAGGGTATTGATGAGAATTGCCAGGAGTATACCCTGCTGAAAGTACTTGTGCTCAACTAATTTTTGTATCCAACTGCGAGCGCAGGTGAGCCCAGATATACAACAATTGCCGGATGTAATGAAGAATCTTTTCACTTGTGAGAGCTCTTGCCCCTCAGTCTCTCCATTATCCGGGCACTGCGATGCCTCGGGTATGTCACACGAGCATGGACAAATTTCCGCATCATCGAGACTCGGGCCTCTATCGTCGCGGAAATTACTTCGCTCGGTAATTCCTGGATTGAGATAACAGAGCATTATACATTTGGAGATTGTGTATCAAGGATTTAGCAATTTGCTGTACGTGAGAATTGGATTTTTTTTTTCATCAAGGGGCAATAGACCTTTGGCAAGTGAATTGAGAAAAGTATCACGTCCCAATTGGCCGGTTGGCAGTGCTGCGCCCAGGGCGCCGCTGAGTGCCAGCAGTTCCTGGCAAGTCATCGCTTCGCTCGTCCCTAACTCCGCCTGGAACTGAAAGACGGACGAGAATCGGATTAAATGAACAGTTTTGACGTTTTTTTTTATTCAGAGGCTGGAAGCGTATTCATCGATTGAACGCAGTCTAGATCGAGTACAGAGCGGAAGATGTGCACTTTTGATAAAAATTGAATGGGTTAACAATTCTGCGGTGAATTGGCAAACTAGGATAAATGCATTTTTTCGAAAATGCGTCTTTTTGGTTGAGTCGCTTCCCAACAATTTGTGGAAGCGATTTGGGAATTTTTTTTTTTGAAAAAATGCACTTATCCTAGTTTACCAATTCACGTAAGATTTATTATCGCATTTTAGACAAAAAAATCGGACAGGGTTGTTCGTCACTCGCTTCGCTCGCTCTCATTGCGGGTCGAAACGATAACTTCCCGACAAATTCCCTTTTCTTTCTGTTTCTTAGAAAAAAACGCGAATTCTGAAAGATAATTTAAAAACCGCTGAGATAATTTGGCTCAATACTGAATCAAAAATCCATCGATGATACCAAAAAACTCAAATCCCATCATTTCTCTAGATAAAATTTGTGAATTTTCAAAGAAAACTCATTTTTTCAATTTTTTCCACATGTTTTATGTGAGTAAATAACGCACGGCCGAGGCGATCGTTCTCACAGGAACCGTGAGACAAAAGATGAATATTTCTCTTCAATTCAAGAAATTGTATTGTATTTGCACGTAATTTTTCACCGAATGAAGGATATTTGTAAGTTTTGGCGGAGAAAGTATGTGGAGAAAGATAAATATCCCGAGTTACACTGAGTAAATTTTTACGTTCGTCGGTTCTGCCATTTTTCTATCGACCTTGGCCTCATGTAAACATAGACAGGATATGCGCGCGAGATGAATAAAAGTTAAATTTTGGCTGACAATTTTTCCGCGTAAAGACATCCAAAGTTCCAAGCCTGAAAATGAAATAAACTTGTGTTCTCTGTGGAACTTTCCACATTTCCATCCATTTTCACTGAATAATTGAAGTCAAACTTGGGATTTCCATCAATTTTTCAATTAAATTGCGTTTTCCATTGTCGAGATTTCCTGAAATTTCACTGGGAACTCCACTTGTTAAAAATTTTCGAGATGAGCATTGAGGAATTTTAGGAAAAAAATTTCAACAACATCTGGGGACAAGGAGTGTTAATCCTCCCTCTTCAAGAAGCCGTTCAGTGGCATGTGGATTAGTAGAATATGAACTTGAATATGATGTAAACATACTTGACTGATGTGATTAACTGGGGTTGTGGACCAAACGTTTCCATCGCCCGTCTGCGTCATCTTCTCACTCGAGCAAATGTTACGCTCCCCACTGGCTGGCTGACCTATGGATCCCGGTAATGTGTTTACACTACCACCATGAAGCATTACTACGTCATTAAACATGACACTGCTTCGACGACGATAGTGGGTACAGGGTGGGCTCAGCAGTGCGTTGTTGGACTGGGTAAGAATAGAAAGAGTAGAAAAAGAGTCTCTCCTTGAGTTGATTAATAGTTGTACTTCAGAATTTATCCTCTCCTCTGTTCAGCGGAGGAAAAAAATTGATAAAGAAGTGATGGTCAAACCTCGGGTGATGTGACGATGTTGTTGTCACTGGTGCCATTGTTGGAGGCAGTTGGTAAACGCTGGATGCTGGCACGATGGCTGCAACACTGGTGATACGACATGTCTGTCTCCGATACTTCTGGACTTGCACGTGGGGCTAAACTTCCCCGTGCCAGGATGTTCTCGCAGAGTTCACTCGACATCATACGATCACTGACCTCCATTGAGAGTACGTGACGAGGACACCTCACGTGGTGGACGCGACGATCTGTTGGGAAGGGAATGATTTATCGTCTCGGGAGGGTCGTCTCGAGTTGAGTTGTTCCAGTATTCATTTAAAATCCTTTGAGTCGTAGCTACTGGGGAACTACAACTACTCCCCCTTGCAAAATTAAAATTTAACGTTTTTCAGCGGCAATTAATTTAGCTATGCTTGACTTAGGAGCGGTTCCAGCTTATTTGTAACTCGGCACTTGCTTAGAAAAAATATCTCACGAACTAAAATGTTAAAGTTATGAAATCGGTTGAAAATAATAATTTTCAAAATATCAAAACTGAATGAATTTCAGATAGAATTGAATGGGAAAAATATCGGAATACAATTAAGGAACTACTGTCCCTTGCAAAATAAAAATTTAACGTTTCTCAGCGGCAATTAATTTAGCTATGCTTGACTTAGGAGCAGTTCCAGCTCATTTGTAACTCGGAACTTGCTTAGAAAAAATATCTCACGAACTAAAATGTTAAAGTTATGAAATCGGTTGAAAATAATAATTTTCAAAATATCAAAACTGAATGAATTTCAGATAGAATTGAATGGAAAAAATAGCGGAATACAATCAAGGAATCATTTCAAGCAATAAAATCTATCGCCTTCATGTCTGGGACGTGAATTCACTGAAAAAAATAATCCTGAAATTCATAAATTTATTGATTAAGTGAAAAGAACGCCCTCTGAGGGGGATTATTAATGAATTCCTCGTGCAAAGGTGTCATTGGTGGACTGGAAAGCAAAATTGTCCACTGTGGGACTATCGTTGGCGAATTGATACGGTAATTCTTCTCTTCACCCAGTGCAGAGTGTCCTTACATCCCGTTTTATTCATCCTAAGGTCTTGCTTCGCAAGCCTAGTGGGATCTATAAAGCCTCCGGAATGCCAGTTTTATCTCAGACCCAAGTTTCTATATTCCTATGTCCCTGGATAGATCCAGAAGTCATGCAGACTATTCTCCTTCCCCGAATTACAATTTGGAGAGTCTGCAGGGCTTCTGGACCATTCCAAAGGCCCATAAAAGTCGAACTTGAAACAAGGATAAAACTGCAATTCTGGAGGTTTTCGGAATCCTCGTCGCGTTTATTCAGCAAGGCCTTATGGTACTATAAAAATTCGTCACATTGGCTTGACAATGATATAGCCAGAGTTGACAATTTTGATTTCCAGTGTCTGTTCATGACGCCTTTGCCCGAAAAATGGATTTACAATCCCCCTCAGAGTTAATTTCATAATTTAAAGCAAGGTGGAAAGAACTACGCGGCCGCAAGGTTTATTTTACGAAGCTGGTGAGTTATTTCTACGTTCCGTTCCGTGAAATTTATCAATCGTTGGGGAAAAATTACAGAACAAATGGTAGAATTTGCGCGGCGACTTGTTCAATATCAGTTCCGACTCACACTTTTTATTAAATTTTACTTCGCTCGCGGATTACATTTCGAAACGAATTTTTACTTTTTTTCTGGTAATTTTTGGCAAGTCATGCGCGTGTCCTTTTCCTAGCCTTTCAAATTCTGAGTGATTGGAATGATGTACTGCAGATGTATTCCGTTCTTTTAGTCATGAATATTCCGCATCCATAAATCGATAGACAGCAGGCTACAGGTGGCATTGATGGTGACAGTGAATCCCTCAACTCGTAAAACCACTAATGAATATTCAAAAACTCACCAGTGCTCGATAAACGATTTGTCCTGAGATTAACGACGTTCGGACAAAGATGACCCTGTTGTTCCCTGAGTAAATGATTCTCCTGTTTCTGCTGTCTCCTATATTTCCACAATCGATATTTCTTCGCCAGACTACGTTTGCCCTTTCTCCACAAGTGTCCAATGTACCTAAATATAAGATATCCAGTTGGAAATAATTCAGAGAGAAAAAATCCTGAAACTGCTACCCCCAATCGTATATCAATTTGTGTCAGACTGGCAACATCCAGAAATACACTTACTTCACAATTTCAGCGTAACACGTTGTTGGTTCTGAGTTATTTGTTGAGGACGCCAGTGTACTCGTGGAATGAAATCTCGCTCGTTCCAATCTCATTCTCTCCATCTCGCGCTTCTTTGTCTCAGAAAATTGGGTGGCTATCACAACCAGGCATAGGTTTATCATGAAGAACGAGCCAATCTGGAAATATATTGTTACCATCCAAGACATTGCATGGTTAACTGCCCGCTAGCATTGCTGAAATCCCATGCAAATTGTACGTGGAGAGAAAAATTGAGGAAGAATTCCTGAAAAATTCAATTTATCGTGGATTCAAATTTCAGATTTGGCTTTTTTACTCTGTATCAAGGGAAAAACGCGAAACGAACGCTAAATTCTCTGGATTGCGCCGGAATGTTTACCGACTGTCATGTAATTCGTCCTGCTGTCATGAAATTTCTGCGAAATTTCGTAATTAAATACTTGAACCTAATCCCAGAATTTTTGGTGTCAACAGGACGATCGATTTGTTTTCTCTAAATACCATACAGAAGATTTCCATACTTTGATTCGGAGTCATCACGAGAGGAGTCGATACTGGGTATTTCGAGACTGAGACGAGAGAAATTTCCGCGTTCATTGAGAACGAAATCAAATATGAGTTTTCCCGAGCCGAAGGCGAGGGATGCAGTCGTATTTGCTAAAAAAAATGTAAGGCCATGTGACGAACAATATTTTTTGTTATAGCGGCCGTAGGCATGTATTCACGGACACGGAGCGTCCGCGAAGTGCTGCCTTACGGCGAGACTGGCAAAAATAAAAATTTTCCAGTTGAGTTCAGGAACTGGAAAAATGAAAAAATCTAATGCGGGAAATTTGACTGTACGGAGAGACGTGATTCTTCCTCCCCAAGATTCATCCCTTCACTCGAGTCTTAAAAATTCCTTCACGCGAAGTATTTGCCATCAAATCCCATGTCGCTCCTCGACTGCGTTGGCCATCGAAATTAGTCGTGATTTCTACTCCAATACTTCCTCAATTCTCCTCTGGGTCACGTACCCTAACAGCCGCCAACAAAATACTTACAACGATCAATAGAACAAAGTATATCCAGTCCCAGAAGGAGTGAGCATCCTGTACGTAGTACATTATGTCTGTCCAGCCCTCGAGACTTATAACGAGAAATATTGCAACCCAGGCAAGACCAATGTTGTCAAACGATATTGTACCTTGAAATGGATTATTACCCTGACCCTTGCATTCGGTATAATAGTAATTCCAATTGACACAAGTTGTATTTGTGATGAATGTAACATTGCTGTTCGGTACAGCCGTGCTATTGCACACTATGTCCCCTATCGAGCGAGAGAGAAAAAAAGCACAAGCATTAACATATTCTGTCCACTCTCATTACCAGAGGCAATTCTCCATCTCCTTTGATGCTTAAAAAAAGATAGTTGAGGAAAATGCACTCACCGAATTTCAGAGGCGGTAGGTTGTCACACGTGTGCATACCATTATCATCAGGCTTGGAGCATATGTAATCCTGGCCCTGGTACTCAAAATATTTCTCGAGGTCACTGTAATAACAAGGGGGGAAAAAACCTCGAGTATTCAATTGGTTCAAGCGCACAAACTCTACCCCGTCGTTCATAAATCTCGATAATTCCATAGATATGATTTATATTTAATTTATATATAGACGGTTCTGATGCACTCGTTCCATGCGTCGTTTTCTTTCAGTGCGTTAATATATCACGGGCATCAACGTTCCGCTGATGAGTGAAGTAGAGACAGAGAGAGATAGATAGGGAGAGAGAGAGAGAGACAGTGCGCGTTATTGACGGTCTATTTAATTTGTAAACAAATGAAAGATAATTCCTGACATTAACATATCACCAATCCATAACATTATTCAATGAGATTTTTCGGCTAAAGATTTCATAAACATTCAATTAAGACACTAACGAGTGCATCGATGCGAGAAAAAAGTATTTTTTGTCACTGCGCTCGAGAAGCCGTGCTAAACGCTCACTGCGCGTGCGAAAAAGCCGACTGCGACCGTCGTGACAGAAAATATACTTCGTCACCCCTGGTAGGGGATGAAGAATGGCCCAGGGTAGGCCGAGAGTCGCCCAGCGCTGGCCAACATTGAGTCACCTTAGTGATGCCGTGAGAGACTTTATGAGACGATACTTTGGAGAGATGGTCTCATAGTCTCAATGAACATGGAATCTTTGGTCTCACGACTGCTCTCGTGACGACTCCGAGTCAATTTATCTCATCGCGGTGTCAAGTTTTGTTTTTTACGGAGAGACTAGGGTAACCAGGCCAATACACGGAGAGAAAATTTCAATAAAAATTACCAGAAAAAAAAACGTGAAAATTACGTTTCGCGACGCAATCCGCGAGCGAAGTAAAATTTAATAAAAAGTGTGTCGAAACTGAAATTCAAACGAACAAGGAACAATCAATTGTTTTAAACTAAATATTCGTTATTAGACATATATAATCGATCAAAAAACCCAAAAAACTCGAAGCCAAGACGAGATAAATTGACTTGAGTCGTCGTGAGAGGGGTCGATATTGCGTTTTTCGAGACTGAGACGAGACCAAAAATTTTCATGTTCACTGAGACCGAGACAATCCCTCCAAAGTATTGTCAAGTGATGTCTCGTGAAGTCTCTCGCCGCATCACTAGGCCACCCTCGGCCAATTTTCACCCATTCCTCATCTCCTACCAGGGACCGGGTCGAAAAAAATTTCTCCCGCAAATATTAATGCAGAAAATTTTTCCTCGCCCTAGTGACGAAAACTAACATGCACAGAGAGAAATTTTCTAGAAAAATTCTAGTATGAGTACTGGAAAAAATCACAATCCACCGTGAAAAATTCTAGTGCTGTTAAGGTAAAACTTTTGGGTATTTCTGGTAAAGTTTCTGGAGATTTCGTGAAATTTTAACAAAAATACGAGGAAAAATTCACGTTTTTCCCAATAAAATTTCCAGTGCCGGCACTGGAATTTTTTCCTGGCCGTCACTCTGCGCCTCTCTTCCCGTGTTAGCACTAGAATTTTTCTAAAAACTTTCTCTCCGTGTGGTAGAGTTATTTTTGACGAGTGCTAGAAGAGTTTTGATAAATTTTTACATAAATATTTTATGAAGGTTATGAGGTAGTCATAGAGTCATGGGTGGATGGGACAAGTGTAGAGTGCTAAAGGGTGCAAGTGACATTCCTTGATGGCTTTTTTTTCAACTTGTATTCTCATCTCGTACGTAGCTAATGTGTCCCCTAGGATTTCTCCAGTACTTTCATTGTATTTGTTATATTTACAGAATGCAAGCCTGACATGCGTATAGATGATGTGTGTAGTAGTAATCGATTTCTGATCAATTACGCGTAATCAAGTTTACACTCAGCCTCCTGTACAACCGTCCTACGTCACTCCGCGCTGTCAGTTGAATAATCTCAATTAGGGGAGGTTTAACTCGATATCTGTCTAAACGTTTTTGTTCCCTCATCACAGCCAATGAAACAAAAAGTCAGCCGTTTGTTTCCTTCCCTTTGCCTCGAGCAATTGTTGCTCCATTCCACAGGCGAAAACAAAACTTCAGTTTCAATACAGAAAAGAGTCAAAAAGAAGAAGAAAGACACCTGTTCTGTGCGTTAGGGGACAATCACAGTATCACATCGGTGACAGAATGAAAGAGAGCGATACAAAAGAGGTAGGAAATATAAAAAAAAAGTACGACCAGTGGAAGGAGAATGAAAGTGAGTTTCAAAGGGAGTGAGAGTCTTCTTCAGCGATGATAACATCCTCTTGGTGATAAATTGAGCGCGCGGGTGTGGAAGAACGTTTGAAAAGCGACGAAAAACTGGGTGGAGGGAGAGAAATGAGACCACTGAACTGGTCGCACATCGATGCATGCGGAAGTTCTCATGAATATGAAAAGTTTCTGGGTATTGTATGAGTGAACGGATGAATGAGAAGATTAATCATTTGCTTGGGGGTGTTTACCCAAAACCGAAAGCGCTCAAAAGTGTTTTTATTTCTCTTGAACTGCACGGGACAGAGTTCTCATTCGTGTTAATAAAAATTTAATCCACGTCGATTATTCGGAATTAAAATGGATAAATGGTGATGCTATTCAGTGGCATGATGGATGTTAATATTGGATCAAATAATGGAATGCTGGAAGAGTTCAAACAGTACTAATTTATTATCAATTAGCGGTGTTCCGCTTGAAATTTGAGCTTTCGCAGGTTCTGTGAGTCAAACACAAATGAAAATACAGATACAATTCACTTTGAATATAAACATGCACGAAAAAATTCTGTAGGAAAACTTTTATCGAATATTTCTATCCCTCGACTACCCCACAGTTTCATTTCGGAAATTCTCTCCTAGATCGGCATTTATTTTTTTAGATATTTTCTCCTACGAAACGAAGTTATCGGAAAATATACAATAATTGTAAACGACTGGTGCGTTTGGTGACCCGTCTTACTGCGGTCCAATTTTTCATACTGAAATCGACATTTAGGCGATAAATGTTGGAAAAGTCTAAAATATTCAAAAATATTGTCGGAGCCCCTTGAATGTGGATCGATGATGAAAGGGTCTCGTAGGTAAGCTCTCAAATAAATCGAGAAGTGCTCATAAATTTTTACAGTAGGTTTACGATACAATCAATCGGTCTGGATTTTTTTTACAACTTTCTAAAACCTTGCATGCTTTTCCAAAGCGTTGGCTTCTGATTTAATCGCGAAATTCCTGAAGATTTCTAGAACATTCCAGTCTTCTGGAACATTCTGCATCGGGAAATTTTTTCATTTTCCAGACGATTCGTGAACTTTCCAAAGGATTCTGTACCGTTCTGGACCTTTCTTGAACTTCCTAGAATCTTCTATTAATTTCTGGAGAAACGAACATCCCAAATTATGTCGAGTAAGATATTTGGAGCACTCGTGGTATTACTCGTGTATTTATTTCATTTTTTCAAAGCTAGTGCAACTAATTTCTCTTAACGATCAGGAAAATAGTTTCATATGTTCGTCCATCACCGCAAAAAATTACAATTGGATTTTTACCTTAAATTATCGATCTTATTATGGTTCTTCGTTTCCAAAGTCTGAAGAAGACCCAATCAAAATCGACACGTCGCGAATTAAAATTTAATTGAGATTAAATAACAATAATAGTTATTATCAATTAAAATCTAAACACAAAAACGAACAACGGAATCAATCCTTAAAAAACGCACAGGTAATGTTCCGCAGTCTCACAAGTGCATCATTTCTATCGCAAATTTTAGAGTGACGCCAGTTGCAACGCATCGGAGAGTCCCATTGAATTTTACGAACCGACTGGCTTTCGGATGATCGAACCAAATAGAAGGTACCAATACCCTCATAAAAATGAAAAAATTCGGGATGTTTATTCACTTCTTTGCTCACTCTTCCCTTCTCCCCCTTTTTTTATTTACTCATCACTCTTTACTCACTTCATGAATAAATGAAAACATAAAAATGGAAACGTCAATAACTCCCACGAGAAGTTCATAAAAAGTGTTCAATCATGAAAACGCGATTGACCATTGAAATTCCCCGCCATTTTCGTAACTGCCCAGTCCCGGTTTAACTCCCGTCATAAAGTTTACTACGACATTGTTTCCCATGAACGTAAAAAGAACACATTTTGAGAATTTCTATTGAAGAAATTTAAATCAATTCGCAGAGAACGTCGGTGTCTAAATGACTCCAATAAAAAGGGAAAAAGTCTGGAGCGAAGGAAAAGTGCTCGCGTTTGGGGGATTCGTCACAGGAGTAAGTCTCTAGTCATCTCATATGCACAGAATAAAACATGAATCAGGGGACCAATAGCTTTCCGAAAGGAGTTCATAAAAAACACTAGCCTTAGAATGCGATTGGCAATTCAGATTTCTCGCCAGTTCATCGTTTCCGGTATTGACTTCCGTAACTATTCACGATCGATGTCACTCTCAACATACATTTGAGCGAAATGCCAGTGAACATGTCAATACTCATGGCAGTAAACAATTCGACTTTCCCATTTGAAGAATTGAAGAAAATTTAGTTCGAAAAATGGTTTCCATTAATTTCTATGATAAGTAGAAAAGTCAAGCGCCGGGTGGACAAATAAATATGTTGGTAAATGAAAGGGGGAAGGGACTAACTGAGTCATGAATAAATGAAAGTATGAGGATCGAAAGATCCTCGTCAAAGATAATCTACGATCATGTTCTGAGAAAAGCTCTTGGTAAGTGTTCAGTCCATAATTTTCCACCAGTCCATAATTTCCGTTACACAGATCATTACGGCCTTCCGTAACGATCTGCGTACATTTCAAGTTGCATCATAAAACTTAGTGCTCAGAATTCGGAATTACTCATGAAGGAAATAATTGAAATTTTCCATTGAAGAAATTGGAATTGGTTCAACGAAAGAATCTGCGTCCAAATGATTGGCCTCAGTAACAAGTAGAAAAATCAAGGATCAGTTGGGCAAATGGATACGGTTATAAATAAGAATGGAAACTCTCCAAGTTTTCTATGAATTAATGAATTTAAAGTTAAATCGATGAAAAGTTAATTAAATGAATAAAAGTATGAGGCTCTGAAAGTCAGTTATTTTTTCGATAAATCTTGTAAAAAGTATTTTAAAAATTGAATTTTTTCATATTCGGGAAGAATTCTTTAATTTTTCCACCTGATGGAAAAACATGTGTAATTAACTTTCCTGATGATTGAGAGAAATCAGTCACCACATACTGAAATAACTCAGCTCATCAGTTCAATAAAAAGTTGATGATTTATTTTAGTGTTCTCGGCGTTGCATAAATAATTTAAATCATGACGAGCGTCTGCAACCATCGAAATACATTTCAACTTTCATTACTCATGAAAGAGAATAACTCGAAATTCCCATTTGCCGAAGTCGAATTAATTGAACGCGAGAATCTGTGTCGAAATGAAGGACTCCAATAACAAGTAGAAAAATCAAGGATCGGCGGGGCAAATAAGAGTGTTCATAAATAGGAATGGAAACTTTCCAAGTTCTCAACGAATGAATAACTGAAAAATTCAATGAATGAAAAGTCAACTGAATAAATAAAAGGATGAGGATCTGAAGATCAATCACTTTTTCAAAAATTTTTATAAAAGTATCAAAAATAATTCAATTGAATTTTCAATGTTCGAAAAAAATCCTGCAATTTTTTATCTGATGTCAGAACATATGAAACTAATGTTCCGGATGATTGAGAGAAACATACTAAAATAACTTTGTTTATCAGTTACAGAAAAATCCAAGATTTTTTTAATATTTTCGGTTTTATATAAACATCCTCAATCATTAGAATGAATAGACAATTCAAACTTCGGCCAGTCCATCGTTTCCATAACGAGCTTCCGTAACCACCGAAATGCATTTTAACACTCGCTACTCACGAAAGAGAAAAATTATAATTGAATAAATTAAAAATAAATAAATAAATGGAAATTGAATCAATTAAAGTTCCCATTTGCCGAATTCCAATTAATTGACCGCGGGGATCAGTGTCGAAATGATTGACTCCAATGACAAGTAGAAAAATCAAGGATCAGCGGGGCAAATGAATATGGTTATAAACAAGAATAGAAACTTTGTAAATTCTCATTAATTAATAACTGAAAAATTAACTAAACCAAAAGTTGATTGAATAAATGAAAGCATGAGGATCTGAAAGTCAATCACTCCTTCAAAAACCCTTATAAAAAGTATTTAAAAAAATTGAATTGAATTACGAATATTCAAAAAAATTCCTATAATTTTTTCACCCAATGACAGACGACATAGACCGCACTAAGACAACTTTGTTTACTTTGTTTACCAGTCCCAAAAAAATCGAAGATTTTTCGAGTGTCCTCAGTTTTGCATAAACATTCGTACTCAATAGAACGGAATAGAAAATTCAAACTCCGGGCAGTCGATGGCTTCCGTGACCACCGGACTACATTTAACTCTCGTCACCCCCGAAAGAGACCAATTCGAAATTCCCATTTGCCGAATTCGAATGAAATCGCCGAGAGGATCAGTGTCAAAATGATTGACTCCAATAACAAGTAGAAAAGTCAGACGTCGGCAGGACAAATGAACACGTTCGCACACGCAGACAGAGTAATGAAAAGTGGATGAGAGTGCCAGTGAGAGGGAGCGAACACGAATGAACGAATGAGAGAGACAGTTGATAGCAGTGGTAGGGGAATAAAGACATTTCCGCGGGTACAGATAGACGTCCAGGTCAGGTCAGGGCACATGCTCTATAACGGCACACGCAACACACACACTAAAACGTCGAGTCTGAGACTTGTTGTGTCCTGTGTTGTTGATACATGTAACCATCATTTTAGTGTATATTTATTGATTATGGTATTTAAATTGTTTATAACATGTACTGTAATACATATATGCAATAGCACATTGTCTTCTATGAGAAGGCTTACTAAATGCGTGATCGAATCGAGTACTCGTCCGAGAGTAACCTGCAACAGCGAAACAATAGCCTGTCACTGCCCCCCCAGGGCTAGTACTTATGTGATTGCATTGTTTTATATTTTTTTCTCCTCTAAAATCGTGAAATATTCACAATTGTTAGTTTCCTCTACTCAATAAAACAAAACAGAGAATGAAATATTTACTGTCTTGAGATGAAATTGAAAATCGCAATCGTCAATGTTAGGGACGTGCGATAACTACAAATACTTGAATGCAAAATAGAATTTTACGTAATGAAAATCTATTATTTGGGGGTGCTCGTGACCAATGTGACAAACGCAGCAGCAGCAACAGCGATATGAAATAATGAAAAAGTATCACAATATAACAAAGTAAATAGAATGGGTTATTGTTCAAGAAGCGTCAATTGATTAATATGCCTACAAGGCACAAAGAATAATTTGCAAATAGCAGCACAACGGTACTTGATTTATTCTGTAATTAATTGATAAAAAAAAACTAGTGTGTATTACTATGATAGTAACAATGATTATTCAATGAACAACAGCATGTGCAATTAACTATAGTAGATACCTCAAATTTACTTATGATACTGTGTGTTCAATTAAATACAGTACGAGAGAATAAACTGAGTAGCATGAGGCAGGTAAAATGTGATTTCTTTGTTTTCCAGTGATTGAGGAAAAAAAATTTCTCTACTATCTCTCGACCGTCGCCGCCGCCGTTGTCTCCCCTCTTTTACTGGTTATTTATCATTATTGTTTATCATCTGTTCCATCTTTTTATCATTATTTATCACCAAGTTTTAAAAGCTTGATCAATTGAGGAATAGCGAAAGAGTTATTTATATTTTAAATGTTATTCTTTGCTGTTGTGTTTACTCACTCTGGATATTTGACGTTTGGAAGTGCCTTGAGAAAGCATCGTTGTCGTAAAATTCCCTCCCAGAGTTGTACACCCACGATTCCGAATATAAAGAAAACGAAGAAGCAGAGGAGGAGAACGTTGCCGAGCATCGGTAGTGTATCAAGGAGCAGCATCACGAGTATCCTCATACCTGAATACATCACCATTAGATACAACCGTTGCCTTCAACTTTCATATACATGTGTGTTATGAGAATCAAATATTTGGATGGCTCAAATGTTGCAACTCGAGTGAATGAGAAATGGGCAAATATTTGGATTGGAAAAATTCAGTTGTGAGGGCAAGCTTGTGTTTTATGGTGGCTCACTCGGTATCCTGTTGATTGCACGCAGCGGTCGCAGCACTCTTATTGTTCTTATGGCTGACAAGTTCATGTTCTCTACGTTTAGACAGTATTCCAAGGCTCTGAAAAAGAGTTGAAACGGATTTTTTGAATTTTATGGCGTGGAATTATTTGCTTCTGCTCTTGCTGAACTTTAAGTAATTGTGCACAATTATTTGGAATTCAGCAGAGCAATTACATTCGCGAATTGTTGAAGATATCCGAGCACTTTGGGCTTTTGTTTTTTGTTGGAATACGGTTCAATGTTTTTGGGTGAACTTCAGAGCTTCCAGCATTGAAGCCCTACTTGATGTTAGCCTTTCGAATGCTTTGTGATGACTATTATTAGGACTTTGAAGGTTCCAAGTAGTTGAGTGAGAAAGAGTGAGAAAGAGTGCGAAAAAGTGAAACTTCACACACTAGTAACGCAATATACTATTGAAATACCGAGATATTTATCCTTCGTTAATACTATTTCAGTGGAGATCATACTCGCAGTTGAAAAAAAAATCGAAATGAGAGAGGAATCTGTCTTTGTACTACATTTTTACTCATTCCGCGATTAAAAACCCCCTGAAAACGTATTTCACTACACGCTTATCCTTCACGTCACTGTAATCTCTACTACATTTTTCTCTCCATATTTCCCGGAATAAATCGATCGTTACATTTTCATCAATGATGAGATTACATTTTAGTAGAGCGAATTCGCAGCAAAATTAAACAACTGAATTCTGTCAGCTGCAGAGCAACCTCTTACGATATAATGTTCTAAATTCACTCATTTTATCGATAATTGGATAATCAACAAATGTCCATGATGAATTCAAATCACTCAATAGATTAATCAATTAATAAATTGAACTCTCGAGATGAATCCGTGTCAAATTAATTACGGAACCACCTGCGAGTTGACGGAAATTCTGATTAAATCCTCGAGTTTCGCAATTCTACGAAAAAGTTCAGATCTCATTCGAGGAATTCCGGATTGTTCCAAACACTGAGGAGAAATCAATAAGGTCAGCGGAGGAAGGTTGAGAAAGTTTCGGGGAAATCTATATAGCTCATCGCAGGTAACAATGAGGGAGAAGTGAGGGTAAGATATACGTATTAGGGACTCGTTAAAATTGTCCTATTGAAACTTACCCAGCGGCGACTATAAAGAAGTCTAATCTGTTCCACGAATCAGCGAGATATGTGCCCTTTCCGTAAACCCCCATTGCCACCATTTTTATCGTCATCTCGAGAGAGAAGAACATGAAGATTATGTCGTCGAACATCTGCAATGAGAGATTATCGTGTTACACTGAGAAAAATTATTTTTCAGATAAGTACGCCTTTGCTTATATCAAGAAACTCGTGGGTTGAAAATTTTCAGGAGCAAAATATCTTGCGCTAAGAGAAAAAAACTTTCGTCAAGACATCTTGTACTTGTTCTAAAGACGAGGACAATTTCTTGATGACAAGAAAGCGATATCTCAAATAAAATAAATTGAATTCATTCATTTAATAGTTTTTAGCCTCAATTCTACAGTATTATAAGGCAAAAACTACTTGAATTGATTTGAGAAATCATTTTCTTGATGCAAACCAATTGCCCTCATCTTTCGGACAAGTATAAATTTTTTTGGCGTAAGATTTTTTTTCTTACGATTTTTTTTTAGCTTCATAATTTTAATAACGACCAAGTAACATGAAATTTCTGTATATTTCTTCATTGACGAATCAGTTCTGTCGGGAATTAGTAAACTAGAGTAAGTGTTTTTTTTTTGAAAGTCCAAGTCCAGAAGACACTGAAAAACATCGAAATTTTTGAAACTTCAGGCAACAAGTTTTCTGAATTCTCAATCTATTGAAAATCGAATTGTATGTAATGCTCAATTTTCAGAATGAGTTCGGAAATTCAAGATTTCACTGAAAACTCAATGATTGTTCAAAATGAAAAACTCAATTTTCTTGAATTTTCAACATGAATGAGAAATTTCATGAAAGCTTTCATTTGAAACTGCATTCAACATCACAAAATCGAGAATTCAGATGACGCTGTGACTGAAATTTCCAGAAATTTCTAACAACGAAGTAAACACGTAATTCTAAAAAACCTCTTGTCTTCTCAATGTACAGTGATTACCACTACGTAATTAAAAGGAAGAAAAACATTTCTGAGGGACGGTGAAATAGTCTTGAGCAAACAATTACACATGAAATGCCCCATGCTGATGTTGAATGTTTTATGAATGAAAGTGATTCACTGAAATAATAACTCTCATAGCCGGAAACGACACTTTTGCGTAAGGGATAATTGCCACGTGCGCTTGTATTTTCCTTACGTCAGATAAAAGAGCTTTCAGGAGATGAAAGAAGTCTAAAAGTTACGAACAAAAATCTACTGCAGTGAAATTTCCTGTTCTAAAGACGTAGGGGAGCATTTCACGGGGATTTCTGGGTCTCTCGCCGACCTATTTCGGAGTGTTACAGTTAATAATGTTGATATGATAGGGAATGGTGGGTATGGGATTGCACAGCTGTGTGATGGAATCACTAATGATATTGGAATTCCACTTTATAGATGGGTCCGTAGACTCGTATCAGTTTTGTCGGATTGACAATTAAAGCCGGATATTGGTGGCACATTATATGATCATTCCAGAATCATTTCATGTTCTAATATCAATTTGGAATAATGTTATGATTTTAGCGATGAGGAAAATGATGATCGTTGAAGGATTCATCATGAAATTGAGAATTATTTTGCTTCGATTAGAATTTCATGCAGAGTGGTTTCAATATAAACAATTTGTGAATTTCGATATTTTCGTTAATGGTGTATTTATTCGTAATGATGGAGCTGAATGAATTTTGGAATAAGATCCGTCTTTTGAGATCTTCTGTGCAGAGAGAAAATTCATTTTATTTATTTTTATTGATCAAACGTGCTTGCGTGAGTTCCAAGCGGACGGCGACACTCACATTGCACGGAGAGGGGAGAAGTGTACATCGTTCGTATAAAAATTGAAGAAGACGAGGAAACTAGGGATGATTGCGTGTAAACGAGAGAGAAGAAACTGGCAGACATTGTGGTTTCATAATAATACAGAGAAAACACGTCAGTCAGCAAGGCTGACAGTCAATTATAGGCACTCAATTGGGGGTTTTTGCCGGAAGTTAAAAGCGTCCAACGGGAAAAGGGCCAATCTTTTCACTGTAGAGAGAAAAAATTCTCAGATTGAGAATATTATTCCTGAAATGTGGACGTCCGCATGATAAGGGTGCACCGGGCGCCGTGACTTCCATTTTAACCAATGTGAAATTTTTTTCATCACGCTGTGTGTAAAGTGATATTTAACGCACGCTCCGCGTGCGCAAAAGCCCACTTCCCGCACATTGTGATGAAAAATAGGGTTCGATACTCACAGGAAAAGAGTTTTTAGACTCGTGGGATTATATCACTCGCCTTCGGCTCGTGCTATAAACCTCCCACGAGCCCAAAAACGCTTTCCCGTAATCGTATTGAAATATACTATTTTATGTCCCTAGGTCCGAGAAACTACGATTCTATTTGTTTCATTACATCTCATTTCAAATGGCTTCATTTTGACGGGCCCTGGAAAATCCACATGCCAGCGCCGGAAAATTGGCTGCGAAATACAGGAATTTTTCTGGTAAATTCGAGAACATTTTTTGTATCGCACAGAAAAAATAGTGCTAGCACGCGAATTTGCCCCGGCCCGTTAAAATAAACCCATTTTATCGTGTTAACAAAGTAATTTTTCAGGTTTTTTCCTCTATGTATTTTCAATCTCAGACAAAATTCCAAACAGTTATCAAGAACATGATCTGATCGTTTCAGAATGCTTTCGTATTTTCATAACAATTGGAAATGATGCGATGATGATAAGAAACACGGGGAGGTAGATGAAATTGGTTAATGGATTTTATTATAGAATTAAGAAATCTTTTTCTTCCCCTACAATTTCATGCGGAGTCGTTTGAACGTAATCAGTCAATTTTTAAATGTTCGTTGATTTATCTCAACAATGATCGATTGGACGGGAAAATCGTCTCGACGTTTTTTGGTGCCGAACGAATTTCTAATAGAAACTATCTTCTATTTTAAAATAGGGAATATTACCATTATTAATTTTCATTTAAGAACAATATTTTCTATTCCGTGACACTGAACCATGAATTTCACCCTAAACCTGTTTCTTTCCAGTAGTTTTTGAGAGACATACGAAAGAAATCATCATTTCATGCAATTAATTGTTGACATAACCGGAAACTCCTAGAGGAAACAGGATTTTCTTCAAATTTCAGCTGAAATTTTGCTATTTTTCTTCACAACGACACATGCCAAATAAATCAGTTCTCATTAGTGAAACGATCGTTGGGCTGACACAAGTTGTTTTTCCAAATATAAGTCAATCCGAGGAAGGTAGAGGAATTTTGAACAAAATTTTTCTAGCCCCCTTGCATTTCTAGATGAATCTCGAAAAACAGCCCACAGGAAAAAATATACGAACAGAAAGACCTAAATGTAAATAAAATGTCCGGTGTTTTTCTCCGTCACAAAAATTGGAATTTCAGCTTCAAAAAGACACATTTTACATTCAAAACAAAAACGTAAATTACGCATAAACAAATCATATTTCACGCTTAAGAGATCATAAATTACAATGTTGTAATTTACGAAAATAAAAACATAGTATTTTACGCTTCCAATAACTTTTTTTCTTCGCCGTTAATTCCAGATAAGTAAACGTAAAATACGGAAAAAACCATCGTAATTGACGTTTATGTAATCGTAATTTACGGCGAGATTGTGCTTAATTTACACTTTAACTTCAAGCGTAAAACACGCTTCAAAAAGCGTAACAGACGACTTCTTAAACGTAATACAATGTTTAGGTTTCTCTGTGCGTATTAAACCAACGAAATATGAAAAATTGGCTTGTTACGTTCTATCACGTAACACATTTTTTATCGCTGTTTTTTTATATTCTCCTGCAACGCATGCTACATTTTACGTTTTAGGTCACCTGTAAAATCTTGCAGCGGTTAGTGACGCACTTGTCGTCTACGCAGGGCTGATACATTCCGAGGGTGATGCAGTTGAGTAGGATGACCATCATGCTTATCCTTTCGAACCACGTGTTGTGATAAAAAGACATTTTATGTACTGAGTTAAGGGAAAATCGTTGATCCGTCACGGGAGGTCGCGGTATTTTTCTCAAGCCAAAGCAACACCTCCCCTGAGGGTACACAACGCAGTGTGACGTCTACCGTCTACCACCCCACTAGCCTCCCTTCCGCCAAATGTCCCTTTTTATTTCACGCTACATTCATTTTTTCCATCTGCAACGCCCCAGAACAATCTCCCACTTTCCCATCGTAAAAACGAGGGAATAAAAACATCTCAAGTACTGAAAAAAATTACACCAATTTCCAAGTCTAAAACTCGGGTTTGTTTACTTGGTAATTTTTCTTATTCATAGCACAGAGTTGCTGACTCTATTATGAAACTTTCACAACTATTCTCCATAGAGATAGAATAAAACCACTTTCATTTCTTTTAATCGAAAAAAAATGTCGATTCTCCTGCCCCGCTATCAGAGAAAAGAAAATTCTTGAATTAAGAATATTGCGCTAGGAACAGTTTGTTTCGCTCCAGAACTTGATGAGATTGGAAGTTTTAAGTGCATCACGAGAAATTTATTCAAATTTAATTGATATCTTGCAGCTTTGGCGGTTTGTGAAAATTTCAATAATAACACGGATTTTCCAAACTCATTGGGAAGATTAATCAGCACAGATAATTGAATTTTTAAATGAATTTAAAATCAAGGACCGAAGGGATCATCTTTCGAACGTTTTCTCCATGGTTTTTCCATCTTTATAGTCTGATTCCCATTTGATTCGTGCAAGGGAAAATTATGATTGTGCAATAATAAAAAAGTATAAAAAACTGAACATTTTCTCAAAGCGGTTTTAATACAGATTAAGAAATAAATTCAATAGGATGAAAATTGTAAGTGGATAATCTACCATGACACCTGACTATCTGATAGTCATTGGCTACTATGACAAATGACCATCGAACAATTAGATCTGATAAATTATTCATTTGCATTTTCCCCTCCCTATTGAATATACTTTTCAACATCATTTAAAAACGCTTTTTGAAAATATTCAGTTTTTTTCTACTTTTTTTCAACTCATACAATCAGAATTTTTGGGGACGCTAGCGCTACGTAAAACTGAATAATTGGAGAATATTCTAAATTAACATCTCATGTGATGTTGCATGCATCAACAACACATGAGAATATAAAAACTCAATAACTTATGAGAAAGCAATAAATTAAGTTATTTAGAATGCTTTCCGGAAATCCTTGGGGACCAACTTTTGGGTACGATTTTCTTGGGATATGCTATATTCAAAGTTGTTTTTCTGAGAATTCGCCTTATACACAGTATACGGCCCAGAGTTTCGGAATAAAAATTTGAAAATCCAACGACTTATGATATTTTTGACGGATATTTTCGTTGATAGGGTTTCCAGACACTTTAAAATGAGATCAAATGAATCAAACTGGATCCAATTGTCTTGGGATATACCATAAAAGCAACGTCCGCTTCATTATTTTCAATTTGGCCTAAAATTTCCTGACTTTCCCACGGCTGAAAAATACTATTTTGAACCAATAAAGCTCCTCTCAACTCAAAAAATAAATCTTCCACTGTATCTCACCCTGAAAATGAATTTATCTGACGAAGAATGGACCACAAGTGAACACACCACCACAATGACAGCGCAAAACCTCACAAACCACAGTTACGTGTGAGTAATACTGTCACACTGTCATCTGTCCTTGAGGGAGTGGAGTAAAAACAATGGTATTCCGGTTTAGAACGGCGTAACGACAAGCACCAATGTCCTTCTCGCTGTACATACCCCGACGATTGCAGGAGAGACCGAGAGCTCCTCGAGGAGTTACTTTCCGGTCTATTTACCAACGCTTCCGAAACACCCCGAGGCGACTCTCAGCATCCCTCCACTTCTCTCGCCCCTCTCCCATCGTTTTCCAAGGGAAATACATTGGTCCAAGTCGAAGGACACAACCATCGAAGATCGTGGAAAAATTCAGATGACTGAGAACAGTGCGATGTAAACGAGTGAGAGAAAAAACGTCTCAATGTATAAAAGAGAGAAACCAAGAAAGAAGGGATTGGAGTTGCCCTCGTTCTGCTTCTCTGTGACTATTATACGGTGCGGGAGAAGGTATGAGCCCTCTTGCGATCGATAACACTTGACGACACCTTCTGGTAAGTAACAAGTTGAAGTCTCTTTCCACATCCGCCTCCTCATCATCCACCAGTGACACGTGTTAAGCCCGAAATCCATCGACTTCCAATCTAGGAAGAGCCATTATTATGAATGAGAGACAAAATTATCGGTGTCGAATGAATATTCGTTCAAGAGGAGGAAATGATTTTTTTAATTGCGATTCCCCAGGCCAGCTGCACTGGTCAAAAAAATTTGGCTAAACTCTCCGGCACATTTCTTGGAAATCTTTATCGCATTAAATTTCCATGAAATTCTTGAGGAATTTCGTCATGGAGAATTCAAATCTCTAGTCTAGAATAAAAAGGAGATGGCCAAAGTGTGTCACGCATTTACGCATTGTCATGCATTTGATTCAAACGGTTATTGTTGCCTGCATCAACAACACGTGAAAATAGAAAAACTCAATAACTTATGAGACGTTTTTCATTTTATTCAACAGTGCAATTTGTCTGGTGTATCTCGTGGTGAGCTACACTGAGAAACATTTCAATGGTAATTTTAACTACAAGGGAATTGTCAAAGAAATTATATTTACAGTAACAATAAAATTTGTAGATTAAACTAGGAGTCATCGTTCGATTTACTATGTCAAATAGTATCACCAACATTATGAGGTAATTTTCACTTTAATGTAGCAGTTGAATACAATGTTTATTGTTACCGTAACTATTAGTTTTTTGACAATTCCCTTGTAGTTGAAATTACCATTGAAATTTCTCTCAGTGTACACTTCTTCAAATTTGAATTACAGCACACGGAGAGAAATTTTCTAGAAAAATTCTAATACGAGTACTGGAAAAAATCACAATCCACCAGCTGTGAAAAATTCTAGTGCTGTTAAGGTAAAATTTCTTGGTATTTCTGGTAAAATTTCTGGGGATTTCTGTGAAATTTTCACAGAAATACGGGGGAAAATTCGCGTTTTCCCCAATAAAATTTCTAGTGCTGGCACTGGAATTTTTTCCTAGCCGTCACTTTGCGCCTATTTTCCCGTGCTAGCACTAGAATTTTTCTAAAAAATTTCTCTCCGTGCAGTAAGTAAATTTCCAGTGTTATGAATTTGAGTAGAATTTAAGATCAAAAGGTCCATGAAATTTTTATTCACCTTGAAGTTCACCAAAATTGAGGTTTCGAGCTTAGTGATCATTGATGTTTCAATGACAGCTTGAATTTTCAAACACCCAGTGAGAACTGAACATTACTTTCATTTGAATGTTCCATCGATTGGGAAGTCAGGACAATACTTGCTCTAAGTTCTACCATGTAGCTCACAACAATGCGCCTGGCGATGATCGCCCAGACGAATTCAAAACATAGAGCTAACTTCAAATGAAATTCCGCTCCTAATCCCCTCATAATTTCCCAAGCTAATAATTGGTGAGGAGCTTATTCAATCATGATTCACAATTGTAACGCGTCTAACTCAATTTGGATCACCTGGAAGTGACTCATTGCGAGTGTACTTCACGGAAAAATATGTAAAAAGTTTGGTATATTTTTAAACTTCACTGCTGCAATTCCAGATATTGTTTAAAACATATACATAAATGTTTCCCAAAATACATTATTTCCCGTTTGAGTCGCGTCTAAAGAAGTGAGTTACTTCTCTCAAACAACTATTCATTTCGCCGAAATAATTTTCTCTCTCCGCATACCCGAAATTCCCTCACAACACTCACAACCCCCTTTCCCTCCCCCTGTTTTGTTCATAAATTAATCATACCCAAAATATCATCTTGCAAACCACATGAAACACGCACAGAGGGAGGTCTAGCTCGGCATATCCATGGAGCCGTGCAGATATCACGATATCGGGAGAGGGTGATCGATACAAACCGGTCGGCAGCCATCAGGGACGTCGGGTTAAAGCAGGCCTTCAAAAGCCAAAAGTCTAACCCAGCTGGTTGGGGAAAGTGTTAAGTTGATGGCCTCTGAGGCTTTTTTACCCTCTCTATTACTCTCTAACCCACTCTATCCCACCTCGCACACGGCTAATGTCCCACCCAAACATTCAGACCTCGACCCAGTGTACAAACAAACCCAACCCTTGCCCTCTCCCCCCCCCCCCTTCCTCTTCCTTCCAGCAACCCCTGAAAATACCAATCTCGTATTCTGCTTGAGTTTAGAAAACTCCCGCTCACAACTTTGGCCCAGTTAATTCGTGCATTATTCCACGCACCATTGCCACATCCACACAACTATCATCTCTCACTTTTGCATAGTGAAAAGTGTTCGCAGATACGCATATTGGAGTCTAACCGTTCTAATGCAACGAGAGTAGAGAGAGTGAGAGAGAGGGGTTATCCATTCAAAAATAGAAATCACGATGTGGGCGTTTAGGCATGTCGATATATAACGCAACGAGAAGGTTGGTAATGTGTTTCAAACCGGCATGCATGTTTTTTCTTCTCATTATTATTGAAATACTTGAAAGTAACCGGCAAATTGGTTCCAAGAATCATAAAAAAAGATTGCGTTTTTATTCGGTATGAGAATGAGGGTGTCTGACTAATACGAGGGTCTGCACTACTGTTAAAGTTAGAGATCTCTCGACTAGTCGATTATATCTCCTTCGAGGGCTCTTTTTTATTTACGTCTCGGGGAACCTTGTAATAGGACGGTTTGTTGGCTATAAAACTGGCGCCGAACTTCGGCGGGGGGAGGGGGCTGGCGGGAGAATGGATGAAATATCTTTCATCTCGTCGGCAAATCGAAAAATAAAGAATAGAAGAGGATGGAAGTGAAGGTAAGGAATAATAGAGTTCTGTTTTCAAATAATATTGCCAATCTCGGACCGTGGGACACTGGGGAGAATAATTGTTTTTGATGAGTGAATGGTTATTTGAGAGAAGTGTGTTTTTTTTGAAGATGCAATTCTTCTAGCCAGTTATTTCCAGATGCTGCAAATTAGGTGTGTATGACCTTGAATTAATTCCATCAATGACCGTTCAATTTACGAATTTCCTCCAGTGAGAACATTTGGGATAATTTCTAATGTTGTTAATAGTTCAAAATTACTGAAAATTTAGGGAATTACGCGAATGGACATTCACTATTTGATGAGAAAATCAATGAAAACTTTTAGATAAATATAGTATTGGATTTTTAATTAATTCAAAATTCAGCGTTATTTGATTTTGAATATTCATACTTTGCTTCGAAATTCAAGTAGGTCGGGGAATTCTTGTCTCCGTGATGCTTAAAAATTGAGAATATCGTTGAATTTTCTGTAGTAATACCACAAGAGCTACAAAATTATCGGATATTTCTTGGAATTTCAAGGAATTTCCCCACTGACAATTCAGAATTTCGTGGAAAAATCAAAGAACTGTAATTTTTAGTTCCATTCTTCCCTAAAAATGAATAGAAAACCAGAAAATCTGAAATTTTTAGGAGTGATACTGAATGCGCTCTAGAGGGAAAAAAATCTTGAAATTTTAGATTTCGTTGAAAATTCAATGTCATTTATTGAATATTCATATTAGGGACAAAAATCATGCAAGTTCAGGTTTCATGATTTTGTCCCCTAAATCGCATTCAGTGTCACTGTCCTCAACTATCCATGAAATTTCATTTTTTTCTTTAACAGTGTAAATAAACGAAGGACTCAAGTTTTCCCGGCTTTGCTGAGAAGCTTGATAAGTTCGTTTGTATTGCGTCTGTGACGAATTGTCGAATGCTCCCGGAAAGATTGTGTCAAACTGTGCTTAAAAAATCCCGAGTGCGCGGCATTGACTCCCCACGCAACGCGTGAAATCTAATTCAGAGCACCAGGAAGTAACTGGCCCGAGGAATTCCCTTTAAAAAATAATTCACCCCCCTCAACTACCTATTTATTGAACCGCCACAATTTTTGTCTCTCACTCTGCGAAATGTCCCTAATACCTGCACAACACCCTGATGGAGCTCATTTATGGTTGGTAAAACGTTGAGGGTAATTGACAATCGACGCTCGAGCAAATTGTTCGATCTACTCGTACTTCCGCCAATCCAACCCAACGAGATTAACTTATCCCCGCTGAGTTAACGAGCAACCAACGTGACACGTTAACCCCCCATCCACTGCCATACCTCGTGCATTCATCTCTCTTCTTTCAGTTTGTACCAATTATTTTTCTCGTTTATTAGTAGTTAAACGGTGAAAATCGATTTTATCGGGATACACATTGTCACGAGGCAGACAGAGATGAGGTGGGTGGAACACAGATGGTGGCGGCGTAGGGGGGTGGGGCAAGGGTTTTGAGTGGAGGGAAATAGGTTAGCGGTAGTTAGGGACAATGGTGAGTAAAAAGAAAAACAAGGAATTGAGAAGCGACTGTGAGCCTCGGTGCACACGTGTGTCCCTCCTCATTTGGCGGTTCTCAAATCCACCCTCTGTACTCACTCTTTCACCCATTTCCCCCCGTATTTCCCTCCTTTGTTTTCGCTCCTGCACCCCATTATCCTCCACTTTGTATCCAACTGCTCTTCCTCTAGGTTTCTATTCTTCATTTCTTGGCGTTTTTTTCACTGCCAGTTGTTGTGCTATCTCTCCCCTCTATCGTTCCTCGTTTTCAAATCTCTCGCGGAAACGAAGTCAGTGAATGCCTGGTTGCATGCAATTCCCGCGCTTCCTACGGGCCCCCCTACGATATGGCTCCAAGGACAGGTCGATCGATGACCCATTTACCCTTTCCTCCCTAGGGGTTGAAAAAGGGGAAGGGGAGGTGCCTCTGCCAAACGAAATCCCGGAATCAACGGCGCATCTACAAAACCACCCACTGTACCCCACACCACCAACTGCATTTTCTCATTCTCTATTATCACTATTCACAGTGTCGTCGGCACGCCGATCTTGAGATTCAATGAATCGACTCGTGAATAGGTACGACGGAGATGTTATATATCCGAGATATGCGAGGGTAATCGGCAAGCAAATTCACTCATACCCATATGCCACGGTATATCTACCTCTACCGCGAAATCAGGTGAAATTGATGGGCTATCTTTGGAACGATAAAAACAAGTGATAAGAGAATGCTCCACTAATTCCCCAGCGAGTGAATCCATTCTTTCTCTCACCGCTGTATCTCCATCATTCCCCATCTGTTATCAGATTGATGGGGGGAGGGGAATGCTCTGTAAATGACATCGGGGTAATAAAAATCATGAAATATCCTCTTGACACGATATGATCATTGATTCGCTAGGGGCGTGACGCGGGTTGAATTATCAGCCATCGTCTCGTTTTTCTACTCATCAAACTTATCCGAAGCTCTTCTCCTCCCTCCCCCCCACCCGATCCTTCATTGATTAGAATGAACTAAAATCATGAGAATTATCGGACATTATATATGTAAAAGGATATGGATTAGTGATGAGGCAAAGACACCAGTTGCGCGGTCGTGTGGTCTGATCGAGGTAGCGCAGTGCCACAGGGGTGAAGCCCGGATAGGGCAACTCTTCGGCGTCTTCAGCATCATCATCATCATCATCCTCGTCGTCATCATCATCGTCTTCCTCGTCGTCGGTATCGTCGTCATCCGTCTGGTCATTTGTCTCGTCGCTGTTGTTCTCATCCATCTCGTTAATCCCGTCGAATGGTAAGTCATTCATGGCATTACGCCCGTCGTCCTCGTCCTCATCGTCCTCGAGGTCACTGAGCTCAGCAACATCGCTGTCCGAGCCCTGTGTCTCGCCATTGGCACTCGTCCTGGCGCTTGCCGAGCGATAACGGTAGCCCGGTCTGTAGTAGTGCATCGACATTCTCTCAAGTTTTTCAAATTATACTTTATATTTTGATATTTTCTCGTTTTATATTTTTGAAAATAATTTATTTCTGTGCTTTCAGGTAGTAATTTTGTATTTGTCAGTCAAATTTTGGGCTTTATTCACGCCATGTTCAGCTCAATGATTTAGCTTTGTTTAAGCTTTTTGTTTTAATGGATTTTTTATGCCAAATTAATTACATCAAGTTTGGATCACGAGTGATCCGACGCTCGAGTGACTTGTCGGACATTGGGCGTATTAAACTTCTTAATTATCACGGTGGCCCTGATATTATCCAACCACCCGAGTACCATGAAACGTCACAACGTGGATAAATCAAAGGGTGACATGCTAATGGCATGAATTTATTCAGCCACCCATTGCTATCCGTAAGGTCGACAAATTTTGACGTACATATCTTCAATTTAACGTGCACCACTGCTCCTTTCGAAGCGGCAGTCCACTTCAGCCGACACCTTGACTCAATCGTCGTTGTTAATTATTGCAATCCAATATATTTTTACAATTCATCCCCCAGACCCCCCCACCGCGCCACATCCGGATGAACTTTAT